AATTTCTTGAGAAAGGCTTTGACTGTGGGCCTTGTTTTGCATATTCTTGCACTTATACAAAGGCCTTACGGGGCCGAAAGTGTTGGGCCCCGATAATGGACCGAGTGAAATAAGACAACTTAAACGGGAGTCAGGCCCATTTCTCATTCGATGGATTCAGAATATGTTTTTATTTTTTTATTTTTGGTAGTTTTTATATGCTTTACTTCAAGATAAGCAATTGAAAACCCCCAAATTTTTATTTAAAAGTGCATATCTGTATATTAATTTAATTATATAATATTTCCATTTATTTTTAAAAACTATATGTAATATATTAATTCTTGTTTCTTTTTTGTTTACTCATCTTATTCGGAAAATTTCATATATCAATTAAGGATTCATTAAACGATAAAATAACCTATTTAATTTTTTAAAAAAACTTATGTAATGTATTAATTTTTATTTATTTATATTAGGTACAAATTAAGTTTTATCGATGAAAAAAAATTCATGTTTTGAATGATAATTTTAATGCAAAATTGATCTTAGTTCCGACTATATGTGTATAATGTTTTATAACCAATCTGTTTGTCATTGCTAAATATTGAAAAAAATTAGTAGAAATCCCATGAAATTAATTTTAATTTTATTTATTTATTCCCCTAAGGACAAAACCAAGGTTGCATAATATTATATTATATTATAATAATTTGATATTTGCAAATGGTAAGGTATTTTTAGTCCAATTTTTGCATGGACTCAAAGTCAATCCCTCTTTGAGTTAAATCAATGTCGAATCATGTCTGCTTTTTTATTTGTCTCGATTACTTTCATTTGTTTATGGTTTCCGTTTATGATTCTTAATAATGCAGGATATGCTCACAAAATCATATTTCATGTGGTTTCTGCATTACGACGAACCTTTGGCTGTTTTTCCTTCTGTAATTCGAGTTAATTTGTGTTTGTTATCTGTTCTCGTGGTCTTTCTCTTATATTGAAAGTCGTGAATTCTATATTTGTAGGTCTTTCTCTCTTAAGCTTCTGGATATGCAGCAGTGGAGATGCGGGCATGGGAGCAAACCTACTGGGCTAAACAGTAAACGAGATCAAGCCTATGGCACGCACTGTTTCCAAATTCAATCCATCCTCACTTGCTCATTGATGAAGCCTACAATCGCTAGTTTACTGGTATAACTGCTTAAAAATGCTCAAATGTTGCTTTCAAGTACCTTCTAAAGCGCTTTAACACGTTTCTTGGAGTTGATTTTTCTGTAGCCGTTCTGTTTTCGATGCTTAATTTTATACTGTTTTATTTTTTTTCACTTAATCTAAATCATTAAATTCAAAACTTAATTTTATACTATTTTAATGAAGTCAATTTGATTTCCTCACCTATCTATAAATTTTCTTTTTTTTTTTATCTAGTATTAATTCATATTCTCTGAATTTTAAAATTTGCCTTTTTTGTTAGGCTAATTAGTTATAAATTATCCTGAATTTTTTATTAATGAAAAAAATTTAATCTTATTTTATTCTGATTTGGATCCCGATTTTTTTAAGTCTGTATTTAAATATTTTCACCCCGTTGAGTAATTTAATACCAAAGTAAGTTGTATTCTTTCATAGATATTTCTCACTATAAACAAAAAATATGTATCAATATAATTACTACATTTTTTTAAAGAAATTTTGTTATTGTAACTCATTTGGTTACTATAAAGGCAACTGTTCAGAAATCTATCTTGTCGAAACCGCAACTATATATATACATGGATTAAAAAAAATAATAATTACCATAAAGAAAATTTATTTAGAGTTTCACTAATTAGATACCCGCGTTACGTTGCGGTCAAACAAGCTGTTATATATATAGCATTAACGATTTGCATAGTGTAGTGTGAGCAGAAGTTTTATTTTTGGCCATTAATGTAAATCGAATCTATATATTGAACAAAATTATTTGATCTATATATATTTATTAAAAAAATATTTAATAATATTAGCATAAAAATTTATATTTGAATAATTTAGAATTTCTTTCAAAACATTATCTAACTTGTTTTATTTTAAAATAATTGATATTATGTGTGCGCACGTGCGCGCACACACACATATATATATCATACTTAACAAATTCGGAGTATATAAAATAAATAAAAATATATAAAAAAAAACACCTAAATTGTATGAAATATATTGAAGTCAATAGATTAAAATAAAAACAACAACAAAATTAGTTTTGATAAATTATAAAGAAATATATATATATATATATATATATATATATATAAGCAAATAAAACTTATGAATTCTTTTAATTGATTATTAATTTTTTTTAAAAAAAATTGAGTCAAAATATCTAAAACATACTTTTAGGCCTCTCTCTCTATATCTCAAAATTTATAAATTATAATAATATTTTTTTTTAAAAAAAAACACTCATTTAAAAAGAAAAAGAAGAATTTTGTATAAATTATAATAATATATTTTTTAAAAATAAAACACTAATGTTCTAAATTTTTATTCCAAAATTCATACATTAAAAAAACTAAATTTATTAACAAATAAAATTATAAAAAAATTAATTTGATGAGAATTTTAATAAGTAACAAATAATTAAAGAAATAAATTTTCAACAATAAAAATAATATAATTAGATAAATATGTTGAAAATAAAATCTAAAAAAATAACATATATATTTTATTCTTTTCAAATTGTACGTGCGTGTGCAAACACACACATCTCTTTTTTTAATTTTTATATATATATTCTCTTTATATAAAGAAAAAAAAATTCCATCTTAGTTCCGATTTCACCTCCCCTCCACGGCAAATATATATCATTAGATTTGGATTTAATAATTTTTTTTTTAATGTAAAATCGTTGGTCTAAGTACCATCGAAGTTTTAAATCTCTCCTGCATCAAACTGAGGCAGATTTGTCTCTTCTTATCGATGGATCAATGCAAACAGTGTAAATGTGCCCTTATAGGATAATATTGACCTTACAGATCTATTCATCTTTTGCTAGATTTCTCGAAAATCTAGAAGAATTTTTTGACAGTTCAGTATTTTTATCAACCACATACTCGTTTGGTAATTAAAATGGTAGCATCATACTTTTCTCTCACGAAATTAATGCTTCAAAAAGGCACGACTGGTTGACGAAAAGTCAATATTCCACAGTTGTCCATAGCAGAGCGAGGTAGACGTGTTATGTACTGGATCAATGCATCGTTCGCTAGCATGAGTACCATCATTGAACCCAAAATTATATATAAAGGAGAGAGAAAAAAAAAAAAAAGCCTGTGAGCCAGGCTTGGGCTGCTGCTCAACCTCCAGAAAAAAAAAAAAAACCCTGTAACTTTCAAAGAACTCAAGGTTATTAAAATCATCATAAAAAAATTAAAGATCAAATTTTAGAGCTCTAAAAATTAAATTTTAACATTATTTTTTTCTAAACATCTCTAAATGATTAGAATAAAGCTAATAAACATATTTAATATCTTAAAAATCATTTTAATATATACCAAAACAAAGAAAAATACACTATAGAAATACTCATCTTCCAAAAATTAAAAAAGTCTAGTGGATTTTTGTCTATAAAAATTGCCTAAATAAGCTCGATCGGCGATCTATCTCTCTCTCGTCTCTCTCTTCCTTTTTCCCTTCTCTTTACGCCCAAGGATTAAAATATATGAACAAATAAAAATGTAGGAGCCAAAGTGTAAAAAGTGACATAACTTTCACCCACCAAAATTCAAAATATCACGAAAAAACAGTCTACGATGCCACTAAATCTAGCACTAAGTAAGTAAACAGTGAAATATTCCCTTCCTTCAGTGTTATAGAATTTGTACGTGGCCAATTTTTCTATAAACGCAACTAAGGAGCAGTAAATATGATTGTTCATTGACTTCTTTGTTTTTTTTTTTTTTTTTTTTTTTTTTGAGATCACTAAACAAATTAGATAATTCTTAAATAAATTATAAATTAATCCTTCTCATTTTGAGAAACAAATTAATTAATCTATCTTCTTTTAAAAACTAATTATTTAGTTTTTATATTTTTAAATCTACTTATAACTTAGTCTTTTTTTGTTTTTTTTAAATTTATTTTAATTTTTTTTGTTTTAAGAAATAGAAAAAAGAAAAAGAATGTAGAAAAATATTGAAAGATTGATGAGGAAAGAAAAAATTTTATAAAATAAAAATAATATTAATTTAAGTATGATCAATTCTGGTTCAAGAACTAAATAATAATTTTTAAAAACAAGAAGAATTACTTAAATTCATTTCTTGAAACTATAGGGACTAATTTATAATTTGGTCGGTAATTCTTTATGCGTATTCCTTGAAGAATTTACCGTACAAGCAACAAGACGTTTGTCCCCATCGAGTTTGTGTTTGATTGGTTTTGCTTTTGAATTAAAAGAAAAGAAAGGTATTTCTCTTTGAACCAAATTAAAGCACCTTTTCTTGTTTCTCTTAGCAACAGAGGCTTGATCTGAGTGGGAGACTTGTGGCCGCATATGCTTGCTCTTACACCTCCTTAGATAAGTCCTATTCCTGTTAGTGTTAAAGGTTACAATTATCACTTTGTTAGCGTAGAAATTCTGATCATTATCCATGTAATTTTGTATTCGTATCTTTGTATTAGTTAGTTGTATCCAGCTATAACTATAAAAATCCTGTAAACCATTCATATCGGATATACAGAAAAACTTTCACAATCTTTTAACTTTCCCACGGTATCAGAGCCGTAATAGTATTTTTTCTTTGAAGCTTATCGTCAAGTATTGCCTCTCAAATCACCCTAGCTGCATCACCGAATCTAAACAGTACTCAAACTGTAACAGTTAGGATATCTTAATTTTCCTAATAGTATTCGGATTCACTTATCCTTGTTTTATCTGGCTTTGATGCGTATAAATATACATCCTCTTTACGAATTGCAGTTTCATTCTTAAAACTTATCGATCAAGTAAAATTTTCAGAGAGTTGGTTCTGTTCCTCGACATGGGGGATGAAACAGGAGGGGCATCTTTACCATCAACAGGAAGCGATGCTAAAAAACGCAGGGTAACCTACTTCTATGAACCCACAATTGGTAATTACTACTATGGCCTAAACCACCCAATGAAACCCCACAGAATCCGCATGGCTCACAACTTGATAACCAGCTATGGTCTTCTCCGTTATATGGAAATCACTCGTCCATTCCCAGCCGCTCCTGAAGACATAGGAAAGTTTCATTCGGATGAGTACGTGGAGTTCTTGTCTTCAGTGTCTCCAGAATCACTGGCTAATCCAGAACATGGCACGCGGTCAGAGAGATTTAATGTTTGTGAAGATTGTCCAGTTTTTGATGGGTTGTTCGAGTTCTGTCAAGCTTCTGCGGGTGGCTCAATTGGTGCTGCTGCTAAACTTAATAGAGGTGATGCTGATATTGCTTTGAATTGGGCTGGTGGATTGCATCATGCTAAGAAGGATGGGGCTTCTGGGTTTTGTTATGTTAATGATATTGTTCTCGGCATTCTTGAGTTACTCAAAGTTCACAGGCGTGTGCTCTATGTCGACATTGATGTTCACCATGGAGATGGTGTTGAGGAGGCTTTCTACTCTACTGATAGGGTCATGACTGTGTCTTTCCATAAATATGGAGATTTCTTTCCTGGCACAGGGCACATTGAGGACATTGGGGTTGGCCAAGGGAAGAACTATGCCCTGAATGTTCCATTAAATGATGGAATGGACGACGAAAACTTCCATGGTCTTTTTCGGCCGATCATCCAAAAAGTCATGGAGGTTTATCAGCCTGAAGCAGTTGTTCTCCAAAGCGGAGCAGACTCATTATCTGGTGATAGGTTGGGCTGTTTCAACTTGTCCATTAAGGGCCATTCGGACTGCCTTCGTTTTCTAAGATCTTTCAACGTTCCTTTGATGGTCTTGGGTGGGGGTGGGTATACTCTCAAGAACGTTGCTTCTTGCTGGTGCTATGAGACAGCAGTTGCAGTTGGGATGGAACCTGATAATAGATTGCCTTACCATGAGTACTATGAGTACTTTGGCCCTGATTACACACTTCATGTTGATCCATCCAACATGAAGAACCTAAACTCACCCAAATATATGGAGACAATAAGGAATACACTGCTAGAGCAAGTTTCTAGACTAATTCATGCTCCCAGTGTACCTTTTCAGACAACGCCATCAACAACTGAAGTTCCAGAAGAGGCTGAAGAAGACATGGATCAGAGACCAAAGCATCCCATATGCAATGGTGAGGATTATGATGAAGATGAGATGGCTGGACCTAGAATTTTGAACATTGATGCGCAACCAATCACTGAGATGAGGGATGCTGTGACCGATGCAATGGAAGAAGACTAGAAAGAATAGAATATATCCAGGATTGTTATTGTTTCAAGGCCAAAGATTTACCACTGGCTAGGAATCATATACATGTATACTTCTGACGTATTGATTCCTTAATGACAAATTGTTGTAACAGCATCCACTTCAATTTATAATATGATTTGGCTTCAGTGTAAGTATTAAAAAACCTAAAAGATTAGTCAAATAATTTGTATTTTTAGTCACTTTATAAAGGGTCAGAATCTTTTAAAAATTTTGTTTCTCTTAAGCTCAAAATCTTGCAAGTCTACTTATTTGTTATCTGAACAGATCTATTGACAAAAGGTAGTAGTTCTTTGATTGCATACCAAAATGCTAGCCAACGTATCCTCAATCTGCTTCAACAATTTCCTCCGGTTCTTCTAACCAGCTTCATCAGCTGCATGCTTGCAGCCATATACTTTCCCTCTCTTCTACAGAAACTTCCTAGGAGACTAATGTATACTTCGTTACTACGTTCGTTCTTCCACAGATTTAAGTGTTTGCATAAGAGATGGACATGTTTATAGTGAACCCTGCAAAATCAACTGAATTAGGCATAGAGCTTCATGGATGTAAAGCATACAACCTAGGAATTACTTTAAGAAGTGAAAAAATACACATGCACGCACGGAAAGCTTTCCTTCGATCAGTACTCATAGTAAAGAGAAGACACAGGATGTGTTTACACAAAGACGAACAACAGCAAAAAATACATAAGCCCACGATATGCCAGTTGTAAATATACACCACTTAAAAGTTCCACTAGTAAGTGGTCAAATGGATTTCCTTTTTTAAACAGATAAATTCCAAAGAGTAGCCTCCTATAAATGGAAGTGCAAGTTCTCCAGAATCAAAACAAGAAATGAAAGTAATTTAGTCAATGACAATGAGCTCCAAATTCAGGAAAGCTTCTCTTAGTTCCTGAGCCTCTGATCAGGTCCTTTCACTGTTGACTAACCCACCAAAAAACAGTGCCAAAATGGGTGAACCAATTCTGAAGTCTGAACTGAACCAGCAAATTAAACACAGTGACAAAATCGGCGGTATTGTGGGCAACCAGCTAACAGAGCTAGAGTTCTGTCACACAATCAGGTATACGTTAAATGGAAGGGATGCACACACTTGCCTTTGAATAGCAAAGATCAACAAGTTGTCTCTACAGGCTAAAAGATCAATTTCATGGTAGAATGTAGATAGTGGTGTGTGCTGACAATACAAACAGTTGTGACACATTTATCGTAACTCCTGTTTGCATTTGTTATTGGAAAAAATTGAAATAAGAAAAATTCGAATTTCACATGCAAGGTAATTTGGCATTTACATCTACAAGCGAAAACGTTATTAACAAATAAAAATTAGGTCGTTAATCAAGTACCAAACTACACCAACTTCATGTCAAACAAATGGTAGAAAGCGAGGAAAACACGCACCAACTACAAACCATTCAAAAGATAAAAAAAGAATATTCTCAAGACTGATTTTCTTTCCATTTTTTGAAAACCTTGCCAAAAACACAGTGAAAACACAGTGAGCAAAGTTAACCTGTGGACTGGCAGGAATGGCCAGGACAAATATGCATCAGTTAACAGCAGCAACAGAACAGCACAGTAGGATTGGCAGCATTACACCTCAAACAAGAACTGAACTTATCTGTAACAGCAGATCCAAATACATGCAAACAGCAGGTTGCAGAAACAGTGGAGCAACACTGAGGACCATTTTCGACCGAGTCGATGAGCAGCAAAATTCTTTTGCAGAGAAGTGCTGGGTAACTTGGTACACACGGGTATATAATCTAGCCCTGAAATTGTTGATATATAAAAAACAACACATGAAATCACATAAATAAAAAGCAACAGCCAAATAAACAAAATTCCTCAGGCCACCACATCCATATCGCCAGACCAACCAGCATTCTTTACTGCAGCAGAAGCAGAACTAGGTTTAAATTCATGCTACAGTTACATAGTAAAGTGGCTATGAAAGAGAAAGGAAAAGATCTACAGAACTCACATAAAAAGTAGGAAACGAAGATAAGAAAAAATAATTAAACCTTCATTAAATTTGAATTACAGATCGAAAGAGCAGAAAATGAGCTTATATTTCTGACAGAGAATGGACACGTTTTCAACAGGGTAAGAAAAGTTAACAGCTGTTCATAAAAAACGAAGTGCATTCTCTGATTAAGATGAATGCGGCTTCATGGCCCTATCACGCAAAAAAATAATTACTAATTATCTCCCTAAAAACATCAGCCGATTCAATTACAAGCGCTACTCACTAGAACATAGACAAGAAACCATCACCACCAAGTTGACTAATCGATCAGAAAATATGCCAATTCCAGGGTGACATACAGCCAATTATTTAGAAAAGATGCCCATTCAAAGGTCAACTACTTAGATAATAAAACATGAAAAGGTGCTACTATGGTGGCAAAATCATGAATTAATCACCATTTATAAGCAAAATCATACTGTGAAACAAATCTGAAACAATCATGAATTGGTAATATTAACTTTTAAAACAGGATGGACTACAGAAAAAACCCATAAGGGTTGTATCTCTATAAAAATTTTCAGCGCAATTACTTATCAGCCTAAAAAATACAACGTAAAAATGCCTTGAAAATCGGAATAATTTTCAGTGGCACTCGGCAAATATTTTCCCTCAAATGAGCTGCTCTATGACGGGGCTAGCGGCTTCCATACATGATTGGTTCCCATATGAGCTAGGGTTGGAGGAAATATATCAGCCAGCGTATGTCCATAATCAAGCCATCCAACCTCCTCGTCAGGTATGCTCCAGAACTCTTCAAGTGAACCTATTTCAACCTCTTCTATCTCGTGCATCAAATTTGACAAAACCTCACCAACCACACTCTGTGATTGTTTTTCTCCTACAAGTTTGTTAACCCCATGCTGCTCCTTACAACCAGAGTTAGCCCAATCAGATTCTGAAACCCCAAATTCAGGGGCATAATCAGAAGAAGGCTGTCTTGGCTTCTTTGATCTTGGATTTTTTCCACTAGTTGTTGCTTCTGATTTCCTCTTTATTGTTCTGTTTTGGGAGACCTCCACTAGCTGTTGCTTCTGATTTCCTCTTCTTATTGTATGTTTTGGAAGATCAGATGCAGGCTCAGATTCTGACAATTTCTTATCCTTGTCCTTCACTTTTAATTGACACAACACATAATCTGTTGAATGTCCAACAAGACTGAACTCAAACATTATCCACTTTTGACTGTGAGGGGATTTCGGGTTCTTATAGGTAAACCTTTTCTTCAAACCAGTAGACAGTTCTGTATCAGCGGTTTTAATCAGAGTAGCAGCATCCTCTCCATGCCAAGTTCCACCACCAAAAGACCTAGAAAATCTTGAATCCTTACCACTCCTCTTCCTCGGTTGCGTAAAGAAAAACAGCCCCCGATCCTTATCCAACTCAGAAACCAAATGGTTTCCACCAAAGATGTCCCAGATCTCCCAGGGATGCTTACTATAAAGATCAAAATCATTGACAGCAAAAGTACAAGAGACAGGCTCATTCTTGACTTTCTTGTCGAGATAATGAATGATCAGCTCTTGATCAGAGGGGCAAAACCTGTAACCTGGTAGAAGATCTGGACGCATTTTCTTAGATTTCCTTGTTTTATCGCTACTTATAACTACAGAGAAACGGAGATTTTGGGAGGGGGGAAAAAAAAAAAAAAAAACAGGTAGAAAAGTGAGTGAATTAATGACTTGGGAAACAAGAAAGTGAGAATTTGGGGTGGGATGAGTGTTAATTTATAAGATTAAGCTACCAATTAAAGGGTAACAGCACTCGGTCGGTTGAATTTCTGGAAACAAATTGGAAGTCTTATCTGTTTCCTTACCCTATTTTATGACCGTTGCAAATATATTTGGGCCAATAAACAAACAGTTGGTGAGCAAACATCCCAAGACCCATAGAAATCCATTCAGACAAAACAATCATACTCATTCACGATTATACAACGTAGTATCTCATATATTATAAAGTAAATTAAAGCAAATAATATTCAAATATTCATAATAATTAACATCAAATGGAATTATTATCGAAAGAATCATAACTTGATTTAGAAGTCTCTTCTTCTTGAAGTACAGTGTAATTGTAATTCTCCTACATCTTTTCCTTCTCATTATTCTTAAGAAAAAATGTTGGCCAATTGAGTGCTGTGCCTTGAATGATTGAACAAGATACCAACTTTTTTGGCTCATTTAAGAAAGAGTACTGTGTTGCTCTTCTTGCTTTGCTTCCAACTGAGCCCTCCTTACCATTTTCTCAAATTTTGGATTTTGTTGGAGAAAAATGAAGAGGGAAGCAAGTTTTATTTCTTAAGAGAAGTACTTACAAAAAGGCGGGAAACATTGTTTTTCGTTTTGTCGAAAGATGAAAGATCTAATCACTCTGGGCCACAGCCCAAAATAGTTGAACATAACTTAAAAACTACAAGGCCAATTATCTGAAGCCCAACCCAAAAAAATGAGATAAACCCATCCAAACATCTAATTCAGTACTAGGGGTTATTATGAGTAAACTATAAATTAGTCCCTTTAGTTTTGAGAAACGAATTAATTAGTCTTTTATGTTTCAAAAAATAATTATTTAGTTTTTCTTTATCAATTTTATGCTCCTTTTTTATTGTGTTATTTTTTTTAATGAAAAATAAATAAATATTATGAAAATATTGATAAGAAAACAAAACATTTTTTAAAATAAAATAATATTAAATTAAGCATAGTTGACTTTGATCAAATAACTAAATAAAAAGTTTTTTAAAACTAGAAAAACTAAATTTATTTTTCAAGACTAGAGAGAATAATTTATAATTTACTAAATAATTAACCATTCCTTTTATGATTTATGACAAACAAGGTTATATTATATTTAGTTATATTTAAATCATACTTTTCCGCAAGCACTGCCTCCTAGTTACGTGTCCGTTGATGAAAGTAGCAAGAACCCCAAAAAGGCAGGATCAAGCATCCATAAGGTCACCACGGCTGCTACCATAGATGGATGTTTACAGTAGATTTCTAATTGTCATACAATATTTAAAAGGAAATGGTGAAATTGGGTTCCATTTTGTTTGGATCTTTTAGGGAAAAAACAAAAGAAAAAGGTAGTTAATTAACCATTTCTTGTTCTTCAAAACAAGTTACATTATATGGGGCAACATTTAAGAACCCTAAGAAGACAAGATGAGGTAACTGTGCCTGCCATGGATGGATATATAGAGCAGATTTCTAATTTTCTACAAAGGAGTTGAAGGAAAAAATGATCAAGTACTACAGTTGAGACAACAAAAGTCAATAATCACAGCAAACCCACCAATAAAGGGTAAAAGCCTCAAGTTTTCTCCTCAATTGCGGTACAGGCACAAAAAAAGCTGAAGGAACTAGTAAAAGTCGAATTAAAAGGGCAAAAAAAAAAAAAAAGTAACAGGGGATTGGTTGGCATACAAACAGTTAGCATCATTCATCAACGGATTCAGAGTCCCAGAACTATCCTTGGACCATAAACAACAATGATTTCCCCATATTCCTGAATTAATCACGCCGAGTTCTGGGGTTTGGTTACACAAGAATATCTCCCCATATGAAATAAGCATTCAAGAGAACACACAAAACCCTAGCCATTTTCATTCTTTTTGGTTAACTAAGATGCATGTGACTCATTGCCATAAAACACCGGGGAAGGAAGGAAGAAATTAATTAATATACACAACCCCTATCCTCAAAAACATGTTCTTCCTACAACTCAATGCTGAAAATTCTAAACGAAACTGATCATAGAACTAAGCTTTGGACTAACCCTAAAACAGACAAATGATTACAATAATGTGTACATACTGAAATATCCAATGCACCATAAAAACTAAGAAAAAGGAGAAGGGATTTAAGTTTTCCCCAGTACCAGAAACTATAACATTGTTATGATACAAAGTTCCGTTTCAAGCAAAGTTCTACCCAGCATCCAAATGTTCTTGACAGGTGAATTCACCATTCTCACATTTGCAGTCAATTCAAAACCTAATCTGCATAAAAACAACAACGAAACATAAGAAATGTCTCAACAACATTAGTGAAAAATAACAAAAGCAATGATCATTTCTAAAAGACATAGTAATACTCCAGGAGGTAAAAGACTATGCACAGTTTTGAGGGTCGGAGACTATTTTGTTTGGGTACCTCACACTAAATCAGTCAGTCAGCAGTGATTATTATTTCTCCATATACATCTTTAGATAATGCCTTAGGAGAACTTGCTCTTCTCTTTTAACAAATAATAAAACTTTAACAAGTAAAACAATAGTGAAAAAAATAGAGAAATTACACAAAAACCTTGGTCGTTAGACCAAACATTGGGTGGATTTCAGCAAGATACTACTAGCATCTTTGGGATTGAATTTTCAAAAACAATAGCAATGAAATGGCAAGCAACACTCAAGATCTTCTTTTCCTCCAGGCCTACCTATAGCCACCTCTACCACAACCTTCATCTCCTTGAACTTAGCTCCATTTCCCATTAAAGGTAGTAAACTTCTCCAAAAAAAAGAAAAAAAAAAGGATTGAAATCTAGTAGATAAATAAATAAAAACTTCTACTCCTTGAACTTAGCTCCATTTTCCATTAACGAAAGGGTGATGCCTTTTTATTTTTATTTTTTCCCTGCATGTTTCTTAATCATAGGATGTCTAGAAGATAATGGATCACATATAAAACAGCTTGACTAATGTAGTGCACAAGACAAAACCAGGATCGAAGTCTTTAAGAGCCTTAAAAAAGGGGGCTAAATTTTTTTTCTCCAGGGGAGAAGTTCAGTCAAACATGTTTATAGAAACCATTTTCGGTAGCCAAGAGGTGATTGCTTTTATATAACCAAAATTTACCAATTATTTATTTATTTTGGAGGGGGAATATCTGGTAGGTACACAATCACAAAATTAGTTTTCACACATCAAATCAAAAGCAGCATAGAGATTGTATTCTGGTGAAGGTACTTACCTCAAAAAAATGGACAACATTAAGTCAAAACCCCTTCCAAACTGTCAACAACAACCACTTCAAACAAAAATGAACTATACCATGCAACTGCTTCAGCCTGCTACCTTTATCACACCAATTTCATCAATCTTTGAGCTCTTATGCTGCAAGAGAACAAATTATACAACAGAGGACTTGTTTAAGGAGAACAGAGAGCTAAGGAATGAAAAGCAATCAAGAAATTCGCAACAAATTGAGAGAGATGAGACTGAACATACTGCAAAATTACCATAACTTCAAGCAAATATTTATTACCTTACTTTTTTTGTGCTTATGCACATCATTAAGATCTTCATCTCCATCATGCTTCCTTTTCTGAAATCATACAACAAAGTCCATATTGGCAATGCCATTGAGCATTCAACAAAATTTAGAAAAGAAGCAGCATCCATAATACATGCAGGTCAAAACGATCAAATAATAGCAGTTCATACCTACAGAAAAATTACTTGTTTTCAATTGCAAATGTTGAATATGTCATTTATTTGCATAGTGATATGTCTTATTGTGCAAATAAGGAGTTGACTTGCTTACTATCAATGTCAAACACTGTGCAGGAGTAACTAAGCCCAGAAATTTCACAGCACCAATTTTATCAGTCACAACATGTTCAAGCAGTAGCTGCCTGCAAGCGAGTAATGAGTTCTAACCTTTTCATGGTGCTTTTTGGAGTGATCAGCACCAGAATCATGATGCCCACTCCTATCCTTCTTCTTCTCCTTGTCTTTGTCTTTACTTCGATCTTTATCTTTATGACGGTGTTTATGTTTCTTATGCTCTTTATCCTTCTCCTTATCTCTATCTTTGTGTTTTTTATGCTTCCTATCCTTGTCCTTGGACTCACCTTTTGATTTCCCAGCGATGGTAGGAGTCCCCTTCTCTGCCTAAAAAAGATTAAAAAAAAATAACTAAATAAAAATTCATTGGGATGCCAAACAAGAGCCGATGCCAATTTGACCCAGTGTGCAAGATTAAACTAAAGCAACGGATAAACCCACAAAATCCAAGGCAAGATAGATTTCTTACAGAAGGCAAATCTATGGGAGTAGTTTCCTTCAGTTGGAAGGCCTCTCTAAGTACATCCAGGTCAAAGGGCTGTATGCGTGCATTACTATCTCTCGAGGTATTCTGGATAAGCTGATCCAATTGCATCCCTTCTCCTTTCCTAATTTCTGTGTCTCCCACCACATTGTGAAGATAATGTGTGTCTGCAATTGACAAAGGAAGTGACCGCTTGCAGAAAAATTCGTGGTGGGGCAACAACTTGTAGTGGCTTATAAGATCAACAGCACCAGTCAGCTCTCTTGGTCCTGAAGTTTCAAAAGGGCACCATCTCATCAGCGTAAGCAGCAAAATATACGGCAAAAACTCGATTTTTTTTCTCCAAGGTTCACTATACATCATTTCAGATTCTGAGTTTCCTCTTCATTTAAACCTTTTTCGTTTCCCTTTTTCAAATGAATGAAGAAAGTTTAGAGTATCTAAATGATATAAAACAACATTAAAAAGCTAAAATAACATTGCTTTGGATAAATAAAGACCATCTGGTTGAGAAACGATGAATAGAGCAGGTAACTGAATCCACAAGGATTATAGAGGGTAAAATGAGGTTATTTTCTTGATTCACAAAAACAAGGGGGCAGGAATAAAGCCCAGTTGCATATGCAAGCTAATCCCATCACATGAATAAATGCATACAAAGACGATTAAGTGACAAGGCTTTAACAAGTCAGTGATAAAAAAGATATATTGCTCAATCAGCAACTAGCTTTTTCATCCCTCCTAAAGAATTTCAACTGCATTGAAAGATGATTTATATTTGATCTTTCTGAATAGAGAATTTTAGAAAAGCCCATGAATTGTTAACTAATCATTCTCCACTTTTGAGCCAAATATACTTTAATAAAGTTATAGACCTAATAATCAATTCTACCTAAACTCTTTTAGATCAATATTTGTTTCTATAATATGCTCTCGGATAAAATTTACAGCAATTTTCATACCACTGTAGGTGAGTTTTCATCTGAACCCCCCACCTTCTTCTCTGCACTTCTTACAGTTACAGTAAAGGACGTGTTGGCCTTAATTTTCCTTTGGACCATATGGCAAATGAGAGAATTGGAGATATCATTTCAGCTTTGGTATAAGTAACATATTGACTTGGTTTGGGAGTAGGGCAACAAGAATTATTCTTGGCGTCAAAAAACTATGTAAATTTTGTTGCATCGGAGTGATTTGACATGGGTAATGATGATAACAGTAAGGACCCAAAGCCCATCAACCAAGCAAAATCAAGGAGGGGGTAGTGGTAAAGGGACAACAAGCCAAAAATATTCTAAGAACTGATTCTTACCTCTTCCAAAATTCTTGCTTTCCGGATCCATGGGTCAATGTTTCATGAGAAGGTGAACCACCAACTGCAGCATATAAACAAAGAATGCATAAAGCAGCTACCTGTCAAGTTATACTGCAATCCAAGCATATAAAGAACAAGAAATTTGAATAACAATACTGCTATGAAATTGGGCTACAGGGAATATCACACTAACACAGCTACCTGTCAAGTTATACTGCAATCCAAGCATATAAAGAAAAAGAAATTTGAATAACAATACTGCTATGAAAATGGACTATGGGGAATATCACACTACGTGTAGCATGCTTACATACAAAATTCATGAGATAGGCAACAACTGAACAAACATGTTGGTTCAATAATTTGATATAGTCACTACATTTTGGGGGGGACAATGGATATTCTGTTGTCATTTGAGACTGAAAGATGCAACAAGAAGGACACCTGACAGCTTGAGATCATACATGATTCACAGGATAAGAATCAATAAACATCCATGTAAATTAGTGGATCCATCCAACTTTTGATATTTATTGTTGTACTGCTCATGTTCATGTATAGCATAAATAAACTTGCCTGCTAAACTGGGCTAGAAAACTGTCCGTAGACATCACTCAACAGACACAAATAAAAAAAAAATCAGCTGAGAAGCAATGTAAGGTGATGTTTTCACGCGATTTAAACAAGAAACACAATCATAATCCTAGCATATTACACCAGATCATATTCGGCTGCACAACCCTACAGCTAATCGTTGTCCCTTTTGTTTTCAAACATGATAACTGCACGACCACTCATAAGCTCAACGACTAGTACGCGGCAAGCACACATAAATAAACATTTCATCAATCAATGCACGCACCTAAAAGGTCAAACCTTTGACAATCACTGACACTAGTTACTCTATAAGCTGTCTTACGACAACCAATCATTCCCAAAACTCGATTTTAACCCAGTAAAATCTCGCTCCCGCTTTCACACTAAGTCCACGAATTCTCTAAATTCACTAACCTGATTGCATTATCGCGAGCAGGCATGCCATATACTTGTAATTTCCAAAAAAACAATCATCAAACCCTAATTTTAGCAAGCTAAGAATCAAAAGCTTAAAACTTTTGCTCAAACAAACCTTTGACATGGATCCAGAATTCGCGTATATCTTCACTCTGCAAGATCACGAGGAAAAAACCGTAAATTTGTTATATCCCTTCTTCTTCTTCTCCACAACTCCTCCTTTTCAGTTCGGTAATAAGCAGCTCCAAAAATCGAAACTTCTTTTTGGCTTTGAATTGGGAATTGAAAATTGGAAGCAGCGAATTGCGGGAATTGGGGAGAGAGGAGAGAAGGAGAGTGAATTTGATGGATCAGAGAAGATTCGAGAAGAAAGAGAGAGAGTGAGACAGTATATTTATATCAGACGAAATTGGATACTTTTTTAGGGTTTGTTTTGAAAGGGGAAGGGGGATTTATTCCCGAAATGGGAGTCTTAAAAGAGTCCGGTAAGCTCATGTTAGTTCCCAATTAATACTCTCTTATCCACTTAGATCCATATTTTATATATTTTTCAATTATATCCCTAATAGATCCAATCATTCTCAATTGAAAGATGAATTCTTTCCTCAAATAATGTGATTAAGTATATAATTGGCATTTTTTTTATATTGATATAAGGATCAAATTGAGATATTTTTGGATATTTGGAAATAAAAAAGTATAGATTTGGGACTTAATTATGAAAAAGGTTGTGGTTTGAGGATTAATTTGAAATAATCCCAAAAGGTTTCAGCCTTGAGTGGTCCTTTCTCCTGTCGCTTTTTAACTTATTTTGGTTATTTCGATCCATCAATTTTTTCCTCATTTTGCACAAAAGTCACTTTAGTTACACTTTAAGGTTGTGCTTGGTATCATGTGAAAAATTAAAAGTGAAGAACTTAGGGAGTAAGATTTGGAGTATACTACTTATTGAGAGCCTAAGATGCGTTAAAGAATAAAGTGTTAGTGGTAATTGATGGAAGTTGATCCAATTTCTTAAAATTGTATTTAGAAGTATTAAGATAATCATTTAATTTTTTGATCAATTCTAGAAATACAATTGATTATAAAGTTGTTATTAATTCCGTTCTTCATCGATTTGATCCTCAATTGTTGCTAATGTTTTCGATTTATATCGAGAAATTCTGATTTTTAAATTCACAAACAATTAATTTTTAATCCACAATAAGTTTAGATTTTTTTAGATCTAATCTTATAATTAATCTTTTACCTTTTATTATGATCAGAATTACATAATATTATAACTAATTATATATAATAGTTTTAGAATATCTCACTATCATTATTTTATTATTGTAATAAGTCATAATTTACGACAACAGTCATAATTGTTTTTTCAATTGTATATAATTTAAAATTATGATGAAGATTATTCTTTAGAAATTCATCATGAAAAATATTATGACTATCCTTTGGAAGTTCATCATTAAAACCCATCCCGACATGTACAAACATGAAAAGGAAAGGACGTAAGACAACTATATATCATTGGCATTTCATTCCGCGTATCTAAGAAATCTGGACCAATCCATCACTTGCTTGCATCAATTTCCTAAGATTTACAAATAGTCTAACCCTAGAACATCCTTAATTGCTGCAAAAACATTTTTAGAACCTCGTAGATTTCATGATCCCCGTTTCTGTCTGTATATGGTTTGGTCTAGGACGTCTATATATGTAATAATTTCTCGACAAAATTAGAGGGCAGAGAACAATCAACCTCGTAAATGTTAAAAATGCGAAAATTGCAAAAGATAAAAAATAGATAGCTGGTCAAATAACATCATGATATTTGCAAATCTATCCTTACAAAGTAAACCGAAGTTAAGGAATTCCCGTGAGTAAATATAATGTTTTGGAGCCACCTAAATAATCTCTCTCTTACTCATGAGTACAGATAAAAATTTTATAATATTTAAGATATAATTAGTATAAATTACTTTTTAAAAAAAACACAAACAAGATAGAGAAAGTTAAAAAAGAACTTTGAATAAATATGAAAATCTTTTTATCACTTTTTACGAGTTCGAATGTGATTATCTTTTTTTATGTGTCTATCTCTCTTCTAAAAAATAAATTTATGAAATAATTATCGTATATATCTACTAATTACTCTTTAAGGTGCTATTTGGTAATCAATAATGAAGCACTAGAAATGAGAATTCATACTTCATTCCTTGATCATTCCTTGATGATGAGGTGTTTGGTGATCGGGAACGAGAATAAAAACGAGAAAATGAGAATAAACTTTTTCTGCAATTTCATTACTTTTTGAGATGTAGGTTTAAGTGGGAATGACAACGTGATAATGAAAAAAAAAAACACTATTTTTTTTTGTCTTAAAAATATCTTTAGCTTTTAATCAATATTACATTTATACTATTATAAATAATCCTCTAACAATACCTAATTAGCCACTAAACTTAAAATATCCTTAGCTTTTAATCAATTTTATATTTATACCACTATAAATACTTCTCTAACAATACCCAATTAGCCACCAAACTTACAAATTTATCTCTCTCGTAGGTAGTGCTTTCTCCCTTTGTCTCTCTAGTTTTTTTTTTTTTTTCTAGCTTGAAACAAATCTAAATTGAAATCGTTTCTTAATCCCTTTAATCATAATTAAGTAGCCACCAAAATTGCAACATCATCTCTTTCGCTTAACAAGTAATCTTTCTCTGTCTCTTTTTTTCTTGCTCAACGACTAATCTTTCTCTTCTTTTGATCTTATTTTGTCTTCTTTGTTGATAATTTCATATTTTTTATTGACGTTAGATAAATAGGCAAGTGATATTTAGGATTTATGGTTGAGATAATTGATGTATGAAGGAAAGTATGATGAGAGAACATAGTAGTAAGAGGAATCGAGTGATAAAGGAAAGTCCGAAGGGAAGGCATACCCCTTAAGTCTCACATATCCTTTTTGAACAACACTTAGGTATGAGGTTATCTTTTTAATTGGGGATGATTGAACAGTTCACGGTTGCCTTAAGTATTATCAAATTTCTCAATACGGACACAATAAACGAGCAAATGAGCATAGTAAATGAAACTGGAATGCAAATCAATCAATATTGGGGATGCTCGCTCATTCACGGAGAGCGACAAAAAAATAGTTTAATTTAGTCTCATTTGCGGATCAAAAGTATAGAAATGTGCATTGATTTCCTCATAAAATATTTATCCCGCATGCTAAATCGTTTACATTTAGTGAATAAAGTTTTAAATACCGGAATAACAACTGTTATTTAATGGAATCGGTCAAGACTATTATTGTTTTTTGTCTAAACACAATACAACAATATAGATAAACTCACAACTCGCACTAACCTGTCAATTTGAAATCCAATTTAGGATTTTTCTTAAGAGTTGTGTGGAAGGAATTAGAAAACCTTTCACAAAATGTTCACTACAAAAAAACAAAAGCTATCGATTTCACTTTTTTTTTAAAAAAAAAAAACAGAAAGTATATCAATCTATATGAAATAATGTATAAGAGACGCAGAGCCTTCTGGATATTGTAATCAGCTCAGGTACGGCCACCTTCAAATTGCTTTCCCGCAAAAATCAAACTCTATCGATCCTGTGGAATTCCTATTCAACAGATTACAATATTAATTAATTTAGATAATTTTCACAGTTTTATGTTAATAAAGAGAGAGAGAGAGAGAGAGAGAATGAAAAAGGAAGAACGCAAAAAAATGTTTACTTTCATCGTCTTGGATTTTGGCCTTGCCATTGTCAATGGCGTCACTACTCTCAACCTCCAGATTAATGGTCTTTCCAGTTAGGGTTTTCACAAATATCTGCCTTTTGTTTTGTTCTCTCTCCTTGGCTTTTTTCTCTTAACTTTTTACTACTATATATAGTCTTAGTAATTTTCCAATTGCTTGCGAATCAAGTTAGGGTTTTTTTTTTTTACGATTCATGAGAAATTAGGTAATTAATTACTCCTATACTGAGTTGGCACTTCGACTAATTAAACAAATAAACAAGACAGATTCAAACGAGAAAATCAAACAAGGAGACAGAGAACAGACAGATTGAGCAGGTAAATAGATGAAGTCGACAACAACTTGGATGTTCTCGATACAAAATTCGAACTCTATAAGAAGCTGACCAGTAGTAAACATAAATTACATGTTTTCTCCTCGCCTATATACTTAATGGGAACAAGAACAACTGGGCTCTATGGCGTTGCCGGAGGCCAGCTTATGGCTGCGTTCCCATGTGTCTACAGGTTCTGCTTGTGCATGAGGAATGTGACGAGGATGTTTCTCTCTCTTGTCTCCCTTTATCTGCTTTAATGCATGCTTAAGGGCAGGCAACAAAGCCTCCACACATTCCGCAACGGCATTAGGATTCCCAGGCATATTGATGATCTGAAAATATGGTTAAAGAGAAGGCATGGCTTAAGGAAAGTCAAATGACTCATTGGCATCAAGTCCAAGAAAAACAAACGTGTACTGGCATGATATATGTTATCGATTCCGGACCACATCCGGTCACCAATTTGGCAAATGCAACTCAAGAGATGGGTATCAACAGTAATTTATAACGTCAATGCTGAAAATTAAGTTTTGTTCTCAACAATTGGACCATTATGTCAAAACAATTTCGACCATTATTTTTTCCAGACCGTCCAACTTTTTCAGATGACTTCAGTGCTGATTTGTAATTGTAACTATGAACTTAGAATTTCTTTCCCTGCTGCATTTTATTAATGGAAGTTCTTATGGTAATCCAAGATCAGTTAAAAATATTTTCAATTTGCCTACCGATATGCAAGTGTGACACGTCCATGCCAAGATATTCATATGCTTCTATGTGAAACCGTATATAAATGAACAACGAAATTAAATCCCCCATGCTGGTTGGAAGCATGTAGCCGAGAAGAAATAAAGAATGCACAGAACATTGAGATGCTTCCCTCCCCCTACTGTCTAGATGATTAACAATTCAAAAATGATTGGGACCTTACCAATGTTGAGCCTCTTATTCCTGCTGCAGATCGTGATAACATAGCAAAAGGTGTCACCTGTATCAGAAGAGAAAGGAAAGTGAAAAATTGTTTGAGCAGAAAGTCCTCTGCAGCAGTCAGATAACAGCCAATTTCCCCAACATCAGTGCTGTTAAAGATTCATAAATGGCCAATTCTCATTGCACTTGTAGCATCTCATTGCAAACACAAAAACTCCTAAAAATTGCAGTGTGAGAATTGGATTCACACACGGATTGAGCATGATTTTATTTTTTGGCCCTTAACATCAACTCTCACTTGGCTACATCTCCAAACACATGAAAGTTTTATCATTGAAGCAAAATTAAGTGCAACAAAAGAAAGAAACAGAGAGAAGCATGCAAAAATGCACTGATTTGAGTTTCCAACTTACCACCGCCATTTTCAGAGTAGATGAATAGCATATTCCATGGATTTAAACACTAGTAATATAAATTATTGTTTCTTACAACTCCCATTAATTATCACAAAATACTTGTACTCTGGTAATATAAAAGAGGAACATTTCACTAGAACAGAGACAGGAAGAAATAATGAAAAGTTATTCTTGGTAACGAAAGAAAAATACAAAATCATATTGACACAATGAGGACAAGAAACTGGACAAATTTTACAGTACTTATGCATCATGAAATATAGAGCAGAAGGCAGGTGTTTTGGCACCTTTAAACTCTCTTGCATCATGACATATAGAAGGCCCGGTGTTTCCTTCTCAATCAACTCCTTGGTTGCTTCGGGAGTCACATCTCGTGGAGTAAAGCCAGTGCCTCCTTCATTAAGTAAAACAGCATTAGAAAGGGAGAAAAGGCTTAAGAGAACAACAAAAAGGGGCAAAAAAAAAAAGTACTGCAATTCATTCAACTTAAGAATTTGGCAAGGAAAAGGAAAAATCAAGAACCTCACCCAAGGTAAGGATGAGATCCATTCTATCAATATCACTCCATTTCTGCACAACTGCCTTGATTTTGCTCACATCATCTGGGACAACAGCTGTTGAAACAACTCGTGCTCCTCCTAATTTTTCTGATGAGGAACTTACGACTGACACTGCGCGAGGGCCACTGCAAATTTCCAAACATTTTTGAGATTGTTTAACTTTCAGAGATCAGATACAAACAAGAACACAGAAATAGAATCCATCCAAATTATTGGTAATAATAAACTGAATCAATATAAATAAAGCTATTTAGCCAAATAAGAAGACGACAAAAGGTCTAAGTTCTCTTGAGTGGCAAAATTTGGATTCGTAACAATACGCACTTCAATCTTTTTGACATGACACTATAGACAACCAAGTCAAAACCTAAAATTCACATCAAGGATAAAGTATTACATGCCTTGTGGAAGATAAGACTTATGCTACTCAGTTCAGTAACAGATGCACATTTGAAGAGGAAGAAGGTTTGAGTAAACATTTCAACATAAAAAGAGCCAAGGATAGGGTGAAATCTTAGTCATTGAGAATTATTTGGGAAAGAACAGGGACACATAATAAGTTGAAATGTAATATGCAAGTAGGAGGGGGCAAAACATGCAAAAGATAATTTTAAGAGACGACTAAGATTTCAGGGCACTGTTTTTCACCAACAGAGAGAAACAAACCCAAGTTCCTACAGGGCTCAATGGCTTGAAATACATAGAATAGACTCTTTGGGTTTTGTGGTTAGAAATGGATGGCTCTGAGCCGGTGGAAGATTTCTTATTCATTTAGTAGGAAGGAGCACAATAACCTACCAAGATGTCTTGTGCTCATTATCATTAGGAGCATCAGGACAGAAAAAACTTATTTGAAAAAAAAAAAAAACAGAAATAACTCCTTCCCCAAGCAGTATGGGGTAGAATATGCTTGTGGCTTCGTCGTGGTCTTCTACTCCAAGGAAATTTTTGCAAGGGTATTTAGCATATGTTAAGGAATAGAACATCTTTCACTTTTTATTATAATCTCTCTTCTTGATTTGTAGATACCTTATCCTCCTCATTGTAGGTTGTAACTAGAGTCATCAGAACAAATTAGTGAGACAAGATATTCAATCAAAATGCTTTGCTGGCCTAGCTATTATTTAAATACTGTTGCAAAGTACCCAGTGCTTTCCATGTTTAACTCTGACATGGAGCAATATCGACTTCGCTCTTTTGTTTTAGCATCAATTAAGTGACCCTTCTGAAAAAATGATTCAAAAGGGTGTATCTAGATGCATTAATAGGTACAATTTGAAGCCAAAGAAGGTAATTGTGCAATTACATGGAGACAAGACAAAATATCATGAAGTTTGTATCTAGATGCTTTCTATCACCTTAATATATTGATAAATATTGGATTGTAAATCAAGTAATGAAACAATCACAAGCACCTTCAATAGTGGTCCACTCACAAAAATTCATGAGGTAGGTGGTTACATATTCAAAAGAAGCAAATCATCATAGTTTGATAATATGTTTTGCAATGGCAAGGAAACTGACGAAAGTACTTAGCCTGTCAAGTAAAAAGCTTCAGCATGGTTGATGCTAAAATGTAGGAAAAGGCAACATGTGATACCATACCTTCGATCAGGCCCAGCCCCTGATGCAACAGTGTCACTCACTGTTAGAACAGCTACTCTGAACTCACCATTCAACGCCTCACCTGCAAGTGTTTCTCTATATGTATTTCCCTGTCCGGAGGATGCTGAGTCTGGTGATAAGCCACTCTCACTACTAGAAGTACTGCTTAAATCAGAAATTATGACGGCTGAGACAGAAGATCCAGCAGGAATTACAGTGCCAGTTGCTGGCAACTCCAATAAAGCATTAGCTGATTTCATACTTAAAAGCCGACTGCTCATTTGATGACCAGTGCTCTCAGCAACAAATCTGATATCCACAACAATGGGACACATTTTAATACAATTGAGTCTTTCTTAAACTGGGCAAACCAAATAACCCAGAGGAAATCAGGTACGAGTTGGATCCAGCTGAATCTCAACCCTCCAGGGCCCCAAACCCAAAGGCAATATCTCTAAGCAACATACCCTGGATTGCCCGATCCAGCATTAACCTTCCATCTAATAATTGCACGATGGAATTCCGGACGCACTGGATCTGCCTTTATGGGCTGGTGAAGGCAAGCCTGCACTCTGAATAGAGGATGGTAAAATTAGATAGAATCTACTAGTCAAATCTATAACCCTAATTTTCGGCTCAACAATGAAATAAATTGCTAATGGGAGCAAGTATGAGAAAAGAAAACAATGTTATAGAAGTCTCATAAACCTCAAGAGATGAGGATTTGCCCATCCAGCAAGAAGGCGGATAGCAGGGACTACGAAGAGATGAAAACAAACTAGGCAGCTCACTGGGTTTCCAGGCAATCCAAAGGCAAGAATTTTTCTTGATGCAATATTGTCAGTTGGTTTTGAACTGATTTCCGCAAATGTCAAAGGTTTCCCTGGCTTCATGCAAACCTGGAAGCAATCAACACCAGATCATCATGATGTAAAATTGATCACTGAAGCTTAACATTTATTTCTTATAAATGGACCTCATAACATAAAAATCATATTTATAAAACAGAATAAAAGAAAAATAAATAAATAAAACATACAAATGAACATTAATTTACCTTGTTAAAATGTACAGTCCCTCTGCTTTCAAGCAGTGGTTTAACAAAATCCTTGTCTCCCATGGAAATACCTCCAGAAGTTAGAAGAATATGAATCCCAGCAGAAAAGGCTGTATCCAGGATCCTCTCAAGTTCTTCCTTGTCATCTCGAGCAATTCCAAGGTCAAGAACCTTGCATTGTTGCTGTATTGCAGCTGCCAGTAACATAGCACGGTTGGAGTCCCTAATCTGCATAGAGCTGAACGGGATAAATTTTTGAACTTAGGAAATGCAAACCACATGGAAAATATTGTGCAACATTGATGGAAAACAAAGGGAACTGTCCATGAATTGGAATACAAGATGGTCTTATTCATGCTAACTAGCGATCCTGCGACAAATTCTGATGCATCCAATATGGTAGTTTTCTAGAGAAAAATCAATGTTAAGATGTGACAACTGCTCTCTGCAAAGTGCCTAAATATTTATGTTGCTAGGAAAAATAATAGCAGCCAGCTCAAAAAAAAAAAATCTCAAATCCATCAACCAATTATAAATTTATTTACAATAAAAAACATATTCAATCTATGAAGTCAATTCTTTGAGTGGAATAACATCTGAATCCACATGTTCCCGTGTTTAAATTTATTGCCATGGATCTATTATAAAGTTAACAAAGAGAATAAGAGATTTCACACTCTAAAAAATTTCACTGTACTTAATTTCAGTGAGTAATGTACTCAAATTTTACATGATTTCAGTACAGCTTCGTTATCCTATTGCCTGATCATTATCCTATTGCCTGATAGTTATGGGCCTCCATTTTTCCCTCGTTGAATTGAATTATCTTAGGCATTGCCGCACTTAGCTTGAACCACCTAGTTGAAGTTTTCAGAGAAATATAATACCTGGCCACGACTTAGACCACCAGTTGTTGGCTCCACAAGTTCGTCTCCAGTAGAGAGAACCGCAATTGTAGGCATAGGATACACCTAAAAGACAGCGCAATCTCTCATATCCTTGACAAACATATTAATCAGTCATAAATATAAGAACCAAAATAGTACCTTCACCATCATTACACCAACAGTAGCAAGCAACCCAATTTCCGAAGCAACTAATCTTTCTCCACATTTTAAAACAACAGCTTCTTTCTCAATATCACATCCCTGCCAAGAAACACTGCAATAAGTACAGAAACATACATCTCTATATGGATTTACGACCACAACGAAGCCATATTACTAATCTTAAATATCATAATCAACATCAATAACAATTTACAGCCAATTTCATTCCCGATAATGTTCATACGTATAAAACTCTAGTAACAAACAATTCAAAGAAAAATTCAGAAGCATACCACTGGACGAATATCAACGCCCTTGCGAGTCTGTACCAATATTTTCACTCGCTTAGCCGAAGGATCTTCGACTTTTTCGGTATCCTCAACCTGAACAACTGCGTCCGCTCCATCAGGTATTGGTCCTGAAAAAAAAATAACAAAAAAAAATATATAAAAAAGTAAATATAAAAATAAAATTACTACCGGATTCTGTTATCATAAATTTACCTCCGGTTGTAACATAAGCAACGGTGCCGGGAGTTACGGTAACACCAAGTCCGTCATTTCCAGCTCTCGATTCTGTTATAACCGGATATTCACCTGGTCCGTCTGATGCTATCACTGCATATCCATCCTTTAAAGGAAAAAATTATAGCAATAAAAGAAAACTTAATTGTTTTGGAACTTCTAATTAAATAATAAAAACCTTGACTGAGGCAGGATAAGGTGGAAGAGGATCGGGAGCGCGAATATCTACGGCCAGAACTTTGCCGAGAGCGTCGTGAAGTGGAACGGTGACAGGTGGCAGACGGTAAGCAACTTTGAGAACTGTTCGGAGAGCTTCCTCTGCTGATATCATCGTCGGATTGGTTACTCTGCGGCGGAAACACTACGGTCAAAATGTTTGAGAAGATAGAGAGGCGAGTGAAAAAGAGAGAAAATGGTGTTTTTAGACGGGGCTGTTTGGACACAAGTGCAAACTGGAAATTCTGCCGCGGGGGGGGGGGGGGGGGGCGGGCGGGGGCGCCGATGACAGGGACGATTCTGGGAAAATTGCAAATTGATTCCTATATTGTGGGTTAATTATCAATGGAGTATAAACACGTGTTTATATTCTATCTGTTCTTAAAGCCCACTATAGTCATTTCCACCACCCCCAATGATCCCCTGAACTAGATTCTGGACCCTCCTCCCATCCAGTAAAATCCCCAATTTCTTCTCTGCAATCATTAAAAAAGAAAGAAAAAACCCTAATTTCCATGAGTTACAATCTCTCAAGATGACCGAAGCGAACCCACTGGTCTCGCCCACAGCCTCCCAGTCCGTGACTGAAACGGTGAACGGGTCACACAAGTTCGAAATCCAAGGCTATTCATTGGCGAAAGGAATGGGAGTTGGAAAACACATCGCGAGCGATAATTTTACAGTGGGAGGGTATCAATGGGCGATATATTTTTATCCAGATGGGAAAAATCCGGAGGATAATTCGGTTTATGTGTCCGTTTTTATCGCATTGGCTAGCGAAGGGGCGAATGTTAGGGCTTTGTTTGAATTGACGCTTGTTGATCAGAGTGGGAAAGAGAAACATAAAGTTCATAGTCATTTTGATCGGTCGCTCGAGAGTGGGCCTTATGCGTTAAAATATCGGGGCAGCATGTGGTAATAAATTTTGATTGTTGAGTTTAATTTTGGTGTTTTATGGTTTTTTTTCCCTTCTTGTTTTTGTTTTTGAATGTGGTTGTTTGGTGTTTTGTGTGTTTAGAGCTGTAATTGGGTTATGTGAGAAGAAAGTTAGTTGATTTTTACAGTTGTGTGTGGTAATTTTGATTTTATTTTGTATTTTTGTTTTTGTTTTCGTTTGTTTCATTGATTTTCGACAGTGGTAGCTCTTGATATGTTGAGTAGGATTGGTTTTCTTAGATGGGTTTTTTATGTGATTAGCTTATGTGTGATAACGAGTAAGAAGAATACAAGTTGTTCTTGATGTTAAAAATTCGTTGTTGGTTGATTGTGTTCTTTGGTTAAAATAGTGAAATTTTTTTGTTATGTATTTGATCTATTGATTTTAGGGGAAGCCTGATGGAAAAGTTCTGTATAGAAATGCTCAAGTGATAGATTAGGTGTTGCTGAATGGTTTGGTGAGAGAGCATATAGATATTGCTCAGATGTCTTTAGCTTGTATTTTTTCTGTAAATGCGTCTGGAAATTCTGAAGCATTTTTGCGGTGATATTATGGGGCATGTATCGAATGCCTGTTGATCTAACTGGTGTTCGTATTAATTATTCATGGTTAAATATGTGCTAGTGGTTAATCGGACATCATGTGATGGTTACAAGTTATTTTTCTCTGGAGTGGATTTTTGTCCTATAGTATGAGCTAAAGGGCTGATTCCTATAGGTTTTCTGTTTTATGCTAGAGCTTGATGATATTCTTTGAATTTGAATAAACTTAACTGTAGTGAGACCTTTAGTCAGTGTAGCTCAGATTCTATTGTGCCTTTCGAAGGAACCAATCTTAAGTACAGTACACACCAGATAATGTAGAATGTTAAAAGCTGCTTCTGAAATTCTGGGGAAATTTTAGTGTGGTATAAATTCTCTCTCTTTACATTTTATTAAAGCTTAAAAGGGTTAGTTTATCAACGTTAATATTTACTGCGGCAAAGATTTTGAACTTGTACAATTGAAAATGTAAAGCAGTTCTTTAACTGTTGGAGGTTGGGCAATGATGATTTGGGGAAGAAAAGCACTTTGAACTTGGGATGTTATTCCACTATGTAATGTGGAATTTATGGTTGAGCATCTTACTTTTGAGTTTGTTTCACAATTCCAGTGCTCCTCTTATATGTTTTACTCCCAAACTTTTTTGAAGTTTTTGATGTGCTCGATCTTGGGATCTATTTTCTTGCATCCTGCTTTTCCTCCCTTTTCCTCTCTTGTTTTCTTTCTCTTTAATGGTTTCTGTTCCTTTGATAGATATTTCTCTTCAGAGTGTTCCACTTTCTGTGAACAGGCGTTGAAGTTTAATTACCTGTCAGGAACAGAATGAAAACACTGAGTGTGCAGCTTTACGAACAGAATGAAAACACTTTCTAGTATGATTTTGCATATCTTTAGCTGTAGTCATGGCTAGTCTTTTATTTTGTTTCTTCTGCATTTCTATCATCTTCCTGCTTGCATTAACTCAAGGGCTATGAGTAAATTTTTTATTCATTTTATTTAACTGGCCCCTTATTTTGATCCTTTTCTCCTGCTTTGTCTCTATTATTTTCATTGTATGTTTGCCTCCTGGTTGGTGTAGATGCGTAAAGGGTTAGATATATTTGAATTTCAAGCTGCCAATTTTCCTGACTTTTGAGATATATATTTGAGTTGGACTAAGTCCTTTTGAAACATTTCGATGGTAACTTTTGGACTTAGATGTTAATCTGTCCTGTTTTCTTTAATATAGGGGTTACAAGCGATTTTTCAGACGAGCAACACTTGAAACATCGGATTACCTTAGGGATGATTGCTTGAAATTCAATTGTACTGTTGGAGTAGTAGTTTCTGCAACGGATTGTTCCCGGTTGAACTCAATTCAGGTTCCAGTGTCTGATATAGGAGCTCATTTTGGCATGCTGCTTGATAACATGGAAGGTTCAGATGTTGTTTTTAATGTGGCAGGGGAAAAATTTCATGCTCATAAGTTGGTGTTGTCTGCCCGGTCTCCTTTTTTTCGATCTAAATTTTTTGATGACGTAGAGGAAGATGAACAAGAGATTGTCATTTCTGATCTAGAACCTAAAGTTTTCAAGGTGATATTTTGTTTTACTAAGATTGTGCCTTTTGAAGGCATATTGGATCAGGATTTGTGTTCTTGTTGGTTTTCTGTGTTTCTTTATCTGTTTCCTTATGTGATTCGCTACAGGCTATGCTGCACTTTATATACAGAGATACTCTCACTGAAGATGTGGACATGGCGACGCCCAGCTTCTCCCCCGTCTCCTCTGTGTCTGAAACATTAACAACAAAGCTGTTAGCTGCGGCAGACAGGTATGGTTTGGACAGACTCAGACTGATGTGTGAGTCTCATCTCTGCAAGGATATATCTGTGGTCTCTGTCGCCAGCATCCTTGCCTCTGCCGACTCTCATCGGGCAACAGAGTTAAAAGCTGTTTGTCTAAAATTCACTGCTGAAAACCTTGCAGGTAAATATCAGTTTCCCCTTTGTAATTTTCCTTACCGTCATTATTTAGAGAATTGCATGACTTTTAAAGTAAACAAAGCTGTCAATTGAGGGGATAGGCTAAGCGCCTTGGCTGAAATCCATCTGCAAAGAACAGTGAAGAAATAAATCATTTCCATCAATTTGTTGCTAAATTATCACTTGGCGGTGGTAGGAAAAGGGCCTCATGTCAGCCTTGTTTAGATGTAGGTTTGGAATGCATAAATTTATCTGCTTGGCAAATTATCTTTCACTCCATCCGTCTGTGTAGTAAGGAAAATGTGTTTTAATTTCATGCATCTAAAAATGTAGCTCTTCATAGCTTGTTCAACTCGCATGGAAAAATAATGAGGAATGAGAACGGAAGGCATTTAATACAATTCCACAATTACCATTAATTAATTGGTGTGGTATTTATGAGGGAAGTAAACGTTGCCACTGGAGACCTTGATTGAGGCAGGATAAGGTGGGCGAGGATCGGGAGCGCGAATATCTACGGCGAGGACTTTGCCGAGAGGATCGTGAAGCGGAACGGTGACAGGTGGCAGACGGTAAGCGACTTTGAGAACCGTTTGGAGAGCTTGCTCTGCTGATATCATCATCGGATTGGTGAGTCTGCGGCGGAGACCGTACGGTCAAAATGGTGGAGAGATGCAGAGACGAACGAAAGAAGTAGAAAAGACAAAACAGAGTGTTTTTGAAGTGTTTTCAGAGGTGGCATTTTTTTAGATGGGGCTGTTCAGACACAAGTGGACATTGGAAATTGTGTGGGGCCAGGTGACAGGGATGATGTTCTGGGAAAATTGCAAATTGATCCCTATATTGTGTGTTAATAATCAATGGAGTCTAAAAAAGTAATTATGTTCTTGTTATTCTTTTGAATTGAGTGGTAGTGCAATCCTATTAGGTAACACCAAACAATAAGCATAAACGTCTTTTACATTCACAGACATTTAGAGGAATAATGCATTTTGTAAATGGTGCTAAAAATTAATTACGAGACTTGAACTCGAGAATTCGTGATAAATGAGTTTTTTTCTTGCTTATAATCCAAGATTGTGAAAATATACGTAGTCCAATTTTATAAATAGAATCATGTGATTATTTAAGGACAAATTAAGTTGGTCCTGTTTACCACTAAAGAGTTGTTTAATTGTGGTTTACCAGAATAAAAAAATCATAACCCATAAGCCTCTAAGATCGTTTATATGGGAAATTGATTCAACTTCTGATCAAAAAGATATATCTTGATTATATTGTTAATTTCATTTGATGACTAAACCGATCGAGAATAACTCTGTATCCATTAATATTTAAATCATATTCTTGGCAAGTCTAAGAAAACTCCCAACGCCAAACATTTTGTAAGACCGTCAATAACCTCTTTTACAAATCCCACATCCTTACGACATCTCTGACCTTACCAACATGAATAATGCAACCGTTATAAGCATAAACAAAAAAACACCACCAACATCCAAACTTCTCTACCCATCCAATAAAGCACCACCACGTCGCCAAAATCCATTTCCTTGAAGCCCACTATAGTCATTTCCACTACCCCAATTATCCCCCGAACTAGAGTCTACACTCTCCTTCCACCCTGTAAAAATTCTCCATTTTCTTTTCTGCAATCATTAAAAGGAAAGGGAAAAACAAAACTAACCCTAATTTCTTCGAGATACAATCTCTCAAGATGACGGAACCGAACCCACTGGTCTCCCCCACAGCCTCCCGGTCCGTGACCGAAACGGTGAACGGCTCGCACAAGTTCGAAATCCAAGGCTATTCGCTGGCGAAAGGAATGGGAGTAGGAAAACACATCGCGAGCGATAATTTTACAGTGGGAGGGTATCAATGGGCGATTTATTTTTATCCAGATGGGAAAAATCCGGAGGACAATTCGGCTTATGTGTCGGTTTTTATCGCGTTGGCTAGCGAAGGGACGGATGTTAGGGCTTTGTTTGAATTGACGCTTGTTGATCAGAGTGGGAAAGGGAAACATAAAGTTCATAGTCATTTTGATCGGTCGCTAGAGAGTGGGCCTTATACGTTGAAGTATCGTGGTAGCATGTGGTAATAAATTTGATTTTTGAGTTTAAATTTGTTGTTTTTTGGGTTTTTTTCTTTTCTTTTTTTTTTTTTTTTTTAGTGTGGGTGTTTGGTGTTTTGATTGGTTTTGAGCAGTAATTGGATTGTGTGCGAAGAAAGTTAGTTGATTTTTACGGTTGTATGTGGTAATTTTGATTTTGTTTTGAAAAGGGTTGTTTTTTTTTTTTTTTTGGGATGTTTCATTGGTTTTCGACAGTGGTAGCTAGTGATATGTTGAGTAGGATTGGTTTTTTAGATGGGGTTTTGTTTTTCATGTGATTAGTTTAGGTGTGATAATGAGTAAGAAGAATTGTGGCGTACAAGTTATTCTTGATGTTAAATATCCATTCTTGGTTGGATTGTGTTATTTGGTTAAAATAGTGTATTGTTTTGTTATGTATTTGATCTATTGATTTTAGGGGAAGTTTGATGGAAAAGTTCTGTATAGAAATGCTCAAGTGATAGATTAGGTGTTGTTGATGTTGTTGAATAGAATGGTCTGTGGTTAGGTGGTTTAATTAGGAAGAGAAGAGTAATAAGATTGTGAGAGAGCATATAGATATTGCTCAATGTCTTTAGCTTGTATTTTTCTGTAAATGTGTCTGGAAATTCTGAAGCATTTTTGCGGCGATATTATGGGGCATGTATCAAATGCCTTTTGGCCTAACTGATGTTCGTTTAATTATTCATGGTTAAAATATGTGCTAGTGGTTAATTGGACTTCATGTGATGTGTACAAGTTCTTTTTCTGTGGAGTGGATTTTTGTCCCATGGTATTGAGCTAAAGGGCTGATTCATATAGGTTTGCTGTTTATGCTAGAGCTTGATGGTGTTCTTTGAATTGAATAAACTTAACTGTACTGAGATCTTTAGTCAGTGTAGTTCAGATTCTATTGAATTGGAAGGGATATTGTTATGGACCCATTTTAAGTTGTAAATGACCTCCTTTACTGCTGTAACAACAGTGTGATTAGCTTGAATCTCCAAAAAAAAAAAACAAAAAGTGTGATTAGCTTGCCTTTTGTAGAAACCACTCTTAAGTATAGTACACACAACAGATACTGTAGAATGTTGAAAGCTGCTCAACTCTTCCGAAATTTTAGGGAAATTTTAGGGTGGTATAGATTCTCTCTCTTTACATTTTATTATAGCTTAAAAAGGGTTAGGTTTATCAATGGTAATATTTACTGCAGAAAAGAATTTGAGAACTTGTACAATTGAAAATGTTAAGCAGTTCTTTAGTTGTTGGAGGTTGGACAATGATAATTTGGTGAAGAAGACACCTTGAACTTGGGATGTTATTCCACTATGTGATGTGGAATTTATGGCTGAGCATCTTAAAGTTTGACTTTGTCCCACAATTCCGGTGCTTCTATTATATGTTTTACTCTTTAACTTTTTTGAAGTCTTTGGATCTGCTCAATCTTAGGATCTAGTTTCTTGCATCCTGCTTTTCCTCCCTTTTACTTTCTTGTTTTCTTTCTCTTTAATGGTTTCCATTCCTTTGATAGATCTTTCTCTTCAGAGCATTCCACTTTCTGTGAACAGGCATTGAAGTTTAATTACCTGTCAGGAACGGAGTGAAAGCACTGGTTGTGCAGCTTTATGGTCTAGGGTTCTACCCCAGCTTTCTATTATTATTTTGCATATCGTTAGCTGTAGTCATGGCTAATCTTTTATTTTTGTTTCTTCTGCATTTCTGTCTTCTTCCTGCTTGCATTAACTCAAGGGCTAAGAGTAAATTTTTTATTCATTTTATTAACTTGCCCGTTATTTTGATCCTTTTCTCCTGCTTTGTCTCTATTATTTTCATTGTATGTTTGCCTCCTCCTGCTTGGTGTAGATAAGTAAAGGGTTAGATATGCTTGAATTTCAACCTCCCAGTTTTCCTGACTTTTGAGATATATATTTGAGTCGGACTAGGTCCATATTGAAATGTTTCAATGGTAACTTTTGGACTTAGATGTTAATACTGTCCTGTTTTCTTTAATATAGGGGTTACAAGCGATTTTTCAGACGAGTGATGCTTGAAACATCGGATTACCTTAAGGATGATTGCTTGAAAATCAATTGTACTGTTGGAGTAGTAGTTTCTGCAACGGATTGTTCCCGGTTAAACTCAATTCAGGTTCCAGAGTCTGATATAGGAGCTCATTTTGGCATGCTGCTCGATAACATGGAAGGTTCAGATGTTATTTTTAATGTGGCAGGGGAAAAATTTCATGCTCATAAGTTGGTGCTGTCTGCCCGATCTCCTTTTTTCGATCTAAATTTTTTGATAACGTAGAGGAAGATGAACAAGAGATTGTCATTTCTGATTTAGAACCTAAAGTTTTCAAGGTGATATTTTGTTTTACTAAGATTGTGCCTTCTAAAGGCATGTTGGATCAGGATTTGTGTTCTTGTTGGTTTTCTGTGTTTCTTTATCTGTTTCCTTATGTGATTCCCTACAGGCTATGCTGCACTTTATATACCGAGATACTCTCACTGAAGATGTGGACATGGCGACACCCAGCTCCTCCCCTGTCTCTTCACCTGTCTCCTCTGTACCTGAAACATTAACAACAAAGCTGTTAGCTGCAGCAGACAGGTATGGTCTGGACAGACTCAGACTGATGTGTGAGTCTCATCTCTGCAAGGATATATCTGTCGATTCTGTTGCCAGTATCCTTGCCTTGGCCGACTCTCATCACGCAATAGAGTTGAAAGCTGTTTGCCTAAAATTCGCTGCTGAAAACCTTGCAGGTAAAGATCAGTTTCCCCTTCGTAATTTCCCTTACCTGTCATTATTTAGAGAATTGTATGATTGTCAAAATAAACACAGCTGTCAATTGAGGGGATAGGCTAAGGGCCTTGGTGAAATCCAGCCGTAAAGAACAGTGAAGAAATAAATCATATGTGTAAATTTGTTGCTGAATTATCACTTATTTGTCGTAGGAGAAGGGCCACATGTCAATGTTGTTTAGATGTAGCTTTGGAGTGCATAAATTTAATTGCTTGGCAATTATGTTTCTCTTCATCCGTCTGTGTGGTCAGGCAAATGTGTGTTAAATTCATGCATCTAAAAATTTATCTCTTCATAGCTTGCCCAAATTGTATGGGAAAATAACGAGGAATGAGGACAGAAGACCTTTAAAACAATTCCACAATTACCATTAACTCTCCCATGTTGTTAAATTGATGTGGTATTTATGAGGGAAGTAAACCTTCCCACCGGAGAAATGTGTTTTAAGGTTTTTAAGACATGAAATATATTTCTAAATCACTTGAAATGTGTCAAGGCATTACATCATGTAAATGCTATTGACAATTAGTGTGTGTCATATTTCTGCATCTCTTTTTATTCATGTGCAATCTGCACCGTTGGAAATTTGATATTTAGAGATATGCTCAATGTTCAATAGATAATGAATTGTTGGTGCTTGATATGGCTTTCTCGTTCTTCTTTGGCATCATTACTGCAGCTGTAATGCGGACAGATGGCTTCACCTACCTCAAGGAGAACTGCCCGTTGCTGCAATCTGAGTTACTCAAGACAGTGGCAGGTTGTGAGGAGGATTGTAGCAGTGGTGGTGGAAAGTCACGGAGTGTATGGGCCCAACTTTCAGATGGTGGCGACACCAATGGCCGAAGGGTGAGACAAAGATCCTAGTAACTGACCATCCAGCTGAAGTTATGTAAATGAGGGTGATGACAAAAAAGATGCAGGATAGAAAACGAAAGCATTTGTGTAACATAGTAGGAAGGCCTGCCATGTTTTTCTGTTTGAACCGGTGTTAGATTTTTGGGTTTGTATTGTAAACTGTCTTGTTGATAACCATGAGCTGTGTTGTTTACTCATGTTCTGAGTAGGTATAGAACATGGCTTTTGAAATTTTTTCCTTTTCAGTCGTAACATGCTGACAAACTCTACTCCTCTCAAATAGAGAGAAATAGCCTTCTGGTTACGTGTAAACCCTTTCCTTTATGCTCTCTTTACTTCTATTTTCCATGTTTTGCATCTCGATTAGCAACGCAAAGTGGATTGTATGTACCTGTTGAATAGAATTATTTTTATTTATTGTTTTTATTTTAATTATTAGCAACCCAAATAGTTTTTCCCGATGCTAACAGTATGCCGAATTTATTTCGAATTTATTGATTGCAATCACTGTTTTTGGTGACATCAAGCATATCATCTAGATGAGAATGAATCTAAGCAGCCAAAGCAAATGGCACTTATCAAGTAATCATTCCTTTTTTATTTTCTTTCTTATCCATTAAATCATCATTGCTTTTCATAGAAACTGGTGGATTACTGGAGTAATTGTGTCGGTTTCGTCCCAAGAATTAACATAACTTTTCACATAAAGAAACTATATATTTGATATATCAAATTTGATATGTGTATATAGCTAACTTTAAGCAGATATATGTGGATAAATTATTAGACGGACTAATCAATCATCGAAAATTATAAACTAAACTAATAGAACTGTTACATGTCATTAGTTTTTTTGCGTCATTTTGTGATTAATGCATTATCAATTATGAATGTATTATTAAACATAAAAAATTTAAATGTGATTTAGTAAACAAATTAGTTGGTTTTTTGCACTAACCTATAGGTCAAACTAAATATATTTATTACAATTTGATGACATGTATTATATTGTCGATTGACTAAATATATTAAATTAAAAACAAAAGATAAAATTTCATCTAATTTTATAACTTTTAATCAAAATTTTATATCGATTTTTGTAATAAATTTTGTAGTTAAAAAAATGATTTTTTTTCTTTCTTATACATTTATTCTTAAATAAAAAACCCATGATAATTTAAATTTAAAATTTAAAAAAATTCTTAATATTTTTTTATAACATTAAATCGAAGAAATAAAGTAACAATTAATGTAAACACTTGCACAAAAATTAACAAAAGAATTTTTATTTTTATTCTTGTTTAATATTGATGAGAAGACTATTTTTTAAAAAAATATGTACATTTGATTTATACTTATTTATTTATTTAAAAAATAATGAATAATATTAGTTTGAGAAATTTTTTTTTGAATTATTAGACGAGTCTTTTAAAATATTATTTCAATTATTTTATTTGGAAGAAATTAATTTTAAAATATTAAAAAAAATAAAAAATAATTGGTGTTATATATGTAAATTTATAGTTAATTTCTAGTAAAATCAATGACTCTAATATTTTTTTATACATCATGACAAGTCTTCACTAGGTCGAGTGTGGAACATAAATAGAAAAATATTTTTAAAAAATTTATTGAAGTTAATAGAGTGCAATAAAAAAAACTACAAATTTAATTTTGATAAAATTTGATTATATAAAGAATAAGTAAATAAAACATATGAATTCTATTTTTCAAATTTAATTATGTAAAGAATAAGTAGATAAGAACAACTAAAAAAATTATTCAAAAATCTAAAACAAATAAATCATATTTATTAACAAATAAAATTACATAAAAAAGAAGAATAAAAAAATTAATTTTACGATAATTTTTATAAGAAACGACAAATTGAAGATATCAATTTTAAACATTCGTAGTAATAATTCAATAAATATGTTCATTCTAAGATCTAAAAATATATCGTATATATTTCATAATCATCAGCTTGCGTGAATAAAAAATAACGATTGGTTTTTCAAAATTTTCACACCCAATTCAATAATAATAATAATAATAAACTAGTAGAAAAAAGCAAAGGAAAAAAAATGAAGAAGAAGCAGGCCTATGTGTCTGGTTTCTCTAGGCCCAATGCAAGTTATGTGTTTGAGCGTGCAACAGTTTAAAGACCAAAAATTTCATTTTAAAATTTCAAGAATCAAAATAAAACATGATGTAAAATTTGAAAATGAATATCCTAAATAGCTTAAAAATAAGAAAAATATCATCTTTTTTTATAATGCATTCACAATAACATGCAAGGGGGTGAACATTAAAAATCATTTTCTCCACCTCTTTTAGTTGTTTTAGTTAATTTCCTTCATAACAAGGACAACTTTCTTGTTGCTTTCCTTTGAATACATAGATGGAAATCGTTGATGTGCCTGATGTTCTCGCAGCCTCGACCCCGCGTTCTTAGCCTCCTGTTGAAAGGAATCTGGCCGAATCAAAAGATAAAACAGAAGTTGTGATTACAAGGATACTAGGAATCAAAAATAACAAAAGGAACTTATTCTATAGCAGAGAAATAGGAACTAACTTAAATAAAAATAGGACCGTTGCTCCTTAAATAGGAGTCCCTTTATTACTGCCTTTAGACCAAGTCATGGCAGTTACCCGTTAGTAATCTAACTGTAACAAAATCATGTCTCAAGTGTCATCTTGAAAGCCCTTCCATCTAATACTTATATTCTTTTTTCTTAAAAGGTTTTGAATACCTTCCTTTTAACACTTCAAAATTTCTTAAGAATTAAATAGAAACAAAAAGTTGGTCAAAGCATCAAATAGGATTATACATTTTATTTTGAAGAAGATAAATAAACTAGCATTACTGTTTAAGTTAGAATTTTTTGACAAAAGTTAGAAAGTTTGAGAAATAATGGTGTGATTGTTTGTGTAATTTGGCTCAACTTGCGCTGCCTTTTTTCTTGAGAAATTTTATAATACATCGACAGAACTCAGTGACATGTATAGTAGTTACTCCATGAGTCTACTTTGAGGAGAGAGATAGACACATAAAAAAGATGGAAATTACATCTATAGCTATCAAAAGTGATAAGAAGATTTCCACGTCCGCTCAAATTTTTTTTATTTTCTCTCTCCTGTTTCTCTCTCTCTTTTTTGTATGTTTATCTCTCTTCTCAAAGTGGGTCCGTTGAGTAACTAATGTATATGCAACTAGTTAGTCCTAAATTATAAAATTTCTCTTTTTTACTTGTTTCTTAAGCTTATTTCTTAAGCTTAATAACTCTTCTGCTTCATAGAACTGTAACTCAAATTATAATTTATAAGAAGCAAGGTTCAAAAAAATATATATTGTGAGTATCATTTTCCAATAAACCAAGATTAGAGTCTCAGTGTTACAATTTTCTTCGGTTATGATGTAATAGAGGAAGGTTAATCTCATTATATAGCTCAAGACCCGTTAAGTCATGCAATATAGTGGAAAATTTTTTTTCTAACATATGTCCAGTAGCATTACAATTTTTCAATTTCCTTAAAAACAAATTTCTCAAATAGAAAATTTAAATTTCGTGTTTGTTGTTTGATAAAAAAGAAAAGAAAAACTAACGAATTTTCTGTCAATATAGAAAGTGCAAATCTTGAATCTTGAAATAGTATTTACCGAGAAAGATCGAATTTTATCACTCCCCATCGGAAGAGAATTTGTTTTATCTCCAACTTGTACACTGAGCAAATAAAAACTTTGAAAACATTGTCGTAATAATTGGTCCTGCATGTCGTTTAAGAGCCTTAGTCCATAAAGCCCAATAAATAAATAAGAGCCTAGCCCATGGTATAAAAAGTACCTCCTCGAAGCTCCACTAAGCTTCCCGGCTCAATCCAAAGAACTCGGATCCATGGCCCATATCTAATGTCTCAAACAAATCCATAATTAATCAATTTCATGTTATTCTAACAATAAATAAATAAAATGAGTAAATCATAAATTATTCCCTATGATTTAGAGAAATAAATTAATTATTACTATTTTTAAATTAATTCCTTGATCAGTGTTGATAATGCATAATTTAATATTACTTTATATCTAAAAATGTCATCTTATCTCCTTGATTTTTCATATTTTTCACTTATTTATTTTCTTTCTCTGTTTCTAGGAAAAAAAAATAAAAGAGAATGAAAATAACTAGGTTACAAGAAAATTTAAAAATATAAAGATTAAACTATTAGTTTTAAAAAAAAAATTAATTCAAGTTTTGAAAAGTCAAATTTATAAGTTACTAAAAAAAAAAAAGGTCGGTGACTACAATCCTTCCTCCCCAAGGAATTAAGACGCCAACATATATATAAATCAATATCATTATTCCCCAAGAAATCACATCGTCTTGAGTTAGACTGAGCTTTCTATAATTTTTTCCCCTCTAAAGCCCACATAAAAAATTACTTTTTATATATACATCAAATTAATTTATATCCATGGCCACGATGCTTTGGTGCTCTCACTGCACCAGATATTGCCAAACTTTATGCCAAGATGATTTCATGTAAGTATAATTTCATGCATGGGTTCTCATAATTATTAATTGCTATATATTATTAACCTTATTAATTATACATAAGTGATTTTAATTAATGGACTGCAGGTCATGTTCTGGGTGTGGTAAGGTTCTTAGCATGTTGAATTGGCAGAGAAGATTCAAGACAAGAAATTCAAGATTTAAAAGAACCAAAAGAAGAAGAAAGAACATAAAAGTAACTGATGATGAATCATGTGTTACTGGAGAATCCTCTGTAAATATTGATGATGGTTTCTCAGATACCGCTGAAAAGCCCAAGTGAATGGTGATAGTGGGCCGGGAAGATTAAAGGTGGTGCCTTATCCTGTTTTTTTTTTTTTTTTTTTTTTTTTTTTTTTAAATTTCACCAATTAATTAATTCGTGGATTATCATTAACAGTTTTTTTTTTAAAAAAGGATAAGCAATATCTTTGTTATTAGTTTTAATTTTAACACAATTAACTCAAAAATATTGGTTACTCAGAGATTAGCTTCAATGGCTGGGTATTATATATATATATATATATATATGATGCAATAATATATTTTGCATTAATAACAGAATATTGAGAATTGAATATAAAATATATTTTTTCAATACTCAATACTCTGTTTTGTAAACATTGTATATAAATATATATGATAATTTTTCAAGTTTCAATCTTATCATCTGGTAGTATTTTTACACAATTGACGTGAGCTTGAAAAATACAGTCAACCAGAATACAACATTCTTGTATACTGGAACGTGCATTGACCTTAATTTAAGATTAGGTGATATTTTCCATTTGATTTCCTAAAAAGTCATGACATCTAGAAAAGGTTCTCAACTAAATTAAGCTAATCATTAATTTTTTTCTTCTTACTGAATGGTCTGTTAGGTCTATAATTATGCAAGAAACTTTATGTTGCTAAAAATTTAGAAAATTTATGTTCCTCCAACTAAATACCAAAATTAAAAAAAAAAAAAAAAAGTAAAATAAGACTTTCTTTATCCAAAAAAAAACAAAAACTGTCTTTTATTTATTTATTTATGTTTGTCTCAAAACCATTGTCTAGTCAAAATATTTAAGTTATATATTTTATTACAATATCCCTAATTAAAACGCATTCCTAAAGAACCTACAATTAAAAAGGAAATATTTTCGAAAAATATAAATAAAAAAATAATGATATCGAATATTAATTAATGGCATTCTATTAGTCAAAGTCAAACATGATAATATTTGTTTAAACAAAGAAGTTGAGATATTAATTAATAACATCATTTAGTCAAAGTCAACATGACAATTTTTTTTAACCAAAGAAGTCTTAAGCTTTGAAAATTGCGTTGGTTCAGTTGAGGAAGTCTGACGGTTGAATTTTCACCTTTTCTCCCACCTTCGTTGAAAGTTCACAAATCCCCTTCTTCAAAACCCAAAGACCCCAACGCCAAAACACCACAAAGATCCAATCTTTTGCCTAAACGATGGAGAATTCAACCCAAGATTCCCTCCTAAGATTAGAAAACACCGTAACCTATGAATCTCCATACCCTCTCTATGCCATGGCAATCTCTTCAACCCCATCTCGCACAAACCAATACCACCAACGCATTGCCTTGGGCAGCTTCATTGAAGACTACAACAACCGTATAGACATTTTGTCTTTTGACCCAGAAACCCTCTCTATCAAAACCCACCAAAATCTTTCTCTTGAGCACCCTTACCCACCCACAAAGCTCATGTTTAGCCCTTCCTCTGTTAAAAAGTCCAATGACCTTTTAGCCTCTTCTGGTGACTATCTTTGCTTATGGGAAGTTAGAGACTCTGCTTCTGTTAAGCCAGTTTCAGTGCTTAACAATAGCAAGACAAGTGAGTTTTGTGCTCCTTTAACTTCTTTTGATTGGAATGATATTGAACCTAAGAGAATTGTCACTTGTAGTATCGATACAACTTGTGCTGTCTGGGATATTGAAAAGGGTGCTGTTGAAACTCAACTTATAGCTCATGATAACGAAGTTTATGATATTGCTTGGGGTGAAGCAAGGGTTTTTGCTTCAGTTTCTGCTGATGGGTCAGTTAGGAGGTTTGATTTAAGGGATAAGGAACATTCTACTATTATTTATGAGAGTCCGAGACCTGATACACCCTTGTTGAGATTGGCTTGGAACAAGCAGGATTTGAGGTATATGGCTACCATATTGATGGATAGTAATAAAGTTGTCATCTTGGATATTAGGTATCCAACAATACCTGTTGCGGCGTTGGAGAGGCATCGCTCGAGTGTGAATGCTATTGCTTGGGCTCCTCAGAGTTGCAGGCATATTTGTTCTGCTGGTGATGATTCACAGGCACTTATTTGGGAGTTGCCTACTTTGGCTGGGCCAAATGGGATTGATCCAATTTCCATGTTCTCTGCTGCTTCTGAAATTAACCAGCTTCAGTGGTCTGCAGCGCTGCCTGATTGGATTGCTATCGCATTTTCAAATAAAATGCAGCTTTTAAAAGTTTGAGTTGAATCGATATTTGTTTTTTCTTTTTTGGATCCTACAAGATATCTTAACCTAAAAAGCTAGACTAATTGCTCGTTGTTCTGTCAAACACATACAACAAAATAGCTACTTAGAGAAATTATTAGAAATTGAGACCACTTATTTAAACTATTAGAACGTTTTTAACTTAAGCCAATCCTCTTGGATTGTGTACTACCTTTGATGCTAATTGTTTAGTATCATCTTTAATGTCAAATTATAATGTTATGGAAACTTGAGTGTGTTTCTAGTTCCCAATGAAATTTCTCCTTGCAGAAGTATGATGTTCTCCCTCTTTTATGCCTGTCTAGCATTTTAGTTCCTGTATGCTGTTTCGTGGTTTGACAGAATTGTAGCCTACCCTGTGCAATATAATTACTGCAATCCATGCTGTTCAAAGTTGGAGGTGCAAAACAAATTTTGGAGGAAAAAAATTTTTCATACTTTCTTAAAATATCTTTTTTTTATTAAAATTATTAGTTATCAATTTTAATCCTCCATTACATGAAATTAATATTAATTTAAAGGGAAAATCTATTCATAATTAAGGTGGTATGTCAAAGGAAAAATCATTAATTTAATTACGTCAAATTTAAAATAATTATAGAAAAATAACATACTAGTAGAAATGTTTTACTCCAAAAAAATTAGACATTACCTTATGTTTAATTATTTAATTTTAATTAGAAGAGAAAAGGAGAGTAATGAGATTCGAACTTGAGTTCGATTAATCATTAAAATTCTGATTTATTTCAATCTAAAAGTTTAATCTATTAAATAAAGTTTTAAAAATAGACTTCTTCTTCTTCTTCTTCTCTTTTTTTTTTTTTTTTTTTTGGTGTAAAAGGTGGAGGGTAACAGAGACAAGAGAGTCATGGTCCCTGCAAAGATTTCAAAATTTCCTAAAAAACTTAAATCCATGTACAAGTTTTTTTTTTTCCTAAATAAGACAGGGAACGATATTTTAGAGGAAAATCAAATGTGATGTTAGCCTTTAAATTTTCCTACTTTTGGATCAGCGAAGAATTTAGCATTTATATATTTTGTAACCATTCCATATTTTGGCTAAATAAAACTAAGAATGGCTTCTCTTTTGTTTTCAATATTTCAATTTCCTTAAAAAAAATTCTCAAATAGAAAATTTCTTTTTTGTTGTTTGATTAAAAGAAAAAGGAAAGAAAAGAAAGAAAAATCCTTTAAAATCAGAGTCATTGGTCCAGCTTATTTTATTAGAGCCTTAGTTCCATAAAGCCCAATGAACGAAAATCAGCCTAGCCCATGATATAAAATGTACCTCCTCGAAGCTCTACTGCGCTTCCTGGCCCAATCCGAAGAACTCTTTATTAAGTCCATTGTATTACAGTGATCATGATAATTCCTTGATGCACAATATTAAATAAATTGATCTAATATGTAATAATATGTTAAATAACCTCTATATTAAAAAAAAATATGTGAATGGCACGAGAAAATTAATAAATGATATAAATTCCATTAATTATAATTTAAATGATTTTTAATTAGTCTTGTCATTATTTATTTAATTAGTCTCCATGGCCATGTCTAATGTCTCAAACAAATCCATAATTAATCAATTCATATTATTCTAGAAAAAACTAGTAAATTATAAATTAGTCCAGAAAAAAATTAATTAGTCTCTCTCTTTTTTAAACTAATTATTTAGTTCCTCGACCATTGTTAATATTACTTTATTTTTTTTAAAAAGTCATCTTTTCTTGTTATTTTTTATATTTTAAATTTTTTATTTTTAAACAAAAAAAAAATCCAAATAAATTGAAAAAGAATAAAAGGGGTTACATTACAATAAAATTTAAAAATATAAAAGCTAATTAATTCCCTTTTTAAAAGTAGAGGGACTAATTTATAGTTTAATTAATCACAACAAAATTCAAGGTCGGTGACTACAATCCTTTGTGTGTGTGTGTGTATATATATAGCATTATTCCCCAAGAAATTACATCGTCTTGAGTTAGGCTGAGCTTTCTGTAATTTTTCTCCTCTAAAGACCCTTTTTTTTTTTTGTTTTTGATACATCAAATTTATAGGCATGGCCACGATGCTTTGGTGCTCTCACTGCACCAGATATTGCCAAACTTTATGCCAAGATGATTTCTTGTAAGTATAATTTCATGCACGGGTTCTCACAATTATTAATTGCTATATATTATTAACCTTATCAATTATATATAAATTATTTTAATTAATGGACTGCAGGTCATGTTCTGGGTGTGGTAAGGTTATTAGCATGTTGAGCTGGCAGAGAAAATTCAAGACAAGAAACTCAAGATTAAAAAGAACCAAAAGAAAAAGAAAGTCCATACAAGAAACTGATGACGAATCATGTGTTACTGGAGAATCCTCTGGAAATATTGATGATGGTTTCTTGGGTACTGCTGAAAAGCCAAAGTGAATATTAATGATAGTGGGAAAGATCAAAGACCTCAAGGAAGGAGGAAAAAAGAGAGGATATTATGAGGGAAATATTTGGTGCCTTTTTTCTTTAAGATATTCTTGATTGTTTACATGTTTTTAGAAGAAATTTAATTTGTTTAAAGACAGTTTGACCTATTAATCCGTGGATTGTCATTAATAAGATTTTCTTTAAGGATAACAAATATCATTTTTATTAGTTTTAATTTTAACCAAATTAACTTAAAAATATTGGTTACTCAGATATTAGCTACTATGTCATATATTATGCAATAATAAAATAATATATTTTGATTCAAAATAGAATATTGAGTTTTGAATACAAAATTTATTGAATATGTAATAATATATTTTGTATTAAAAAAAGAATAATGAAAATTGAATATAAAATATAGTTTTTCAATACTCACTATTTTGTTTTTAATACAAAGATTGTATAAAATTATGTCAAATATATAATACAAATACACATTATAATTCTTTGAGTTCAAATCTCATCATTTTCATTTTTTTCTAATTAAAATTAAATAAAAAAAATAAAATAGTAGCAATTTCGCTTGAGTAATTAAGTGAGAAAATAATATAAATTATATTTTAAGACTTTACTCTTTTGAATTTTATTCTATATGAATAATCCATCAATCTTTAAATCACATTATGTTCTTGAGTGGATTTTAACCTTTAACTACTTCTAACACCTACAGATAACATGAATCACCTTTTTGCTTTTCAGCCATCTGAACTGTGCAAAAATTAGAGCTTCTACTTCCCTTTGACCCCTTATCGTCCTTAATTTAAGAATAATTTTGTGGAAGAACAAGAAAAAGAAAAGAGAAACTAAGAAAAACTGGTGGAATAATTTTGTGGTGAACTTGTAAATACAGTCAACTAAGACAGAACATTCCTTTATACTGGCGCTTGCATTGACTGTAATTTGCAATAACAAATAAAAAGATTTTTCGTTGTTACTCCAACTAGATACCAAAATATTTATAAAAAAAATCACTAAAATAAGACTTCATTTATCCAAAAAGGTTGTCTTTCTTTTTATTTCTGTTTGTCTCCAAATGATTAATGTTGAAAAAGGGAGGAAAATAAACCTAATAAGGAATCACAAAAACAATGTTGAAAAGGATTCCTTCCTAGCAAGGAAAATGTTGTAAACAAATATATATACGTGTGTGTGTTAAAAATTCCTTTTTTTATTCATTAATTTAATTACATCAAATTTAAAATAATTATGAAAAAATAACATACTAATAAAAATATTTTACTCTTAAAATTTAGCCAAGCGTAAAATCCTTACAAGGATGAATATCTTTTTTGTAACAAAAGATCTTCCTTTAAAAATTTTATTTTAAAGGTATTTGTATAGGTAGGGTAAAATATAAAATATTGTTTTTTTTTTTTTAGTAAAGAATAGGAAATGAAAGAAAGAATTTATTTTATTTATTAATTAGGAGTATTTTTAAAAAGTGTGTTATTCAAAATTTTGACGAAATAAATATTTTGGAATAAATATAAATACAAAAGAAAACAATATCGCTTAGGACAAATGTAAATACAAAAGGAAACAATAAATATCTCTTAGAACAAACTAGATTTTTTATCCGTGTTATGTCGGGGGTAGGATAAAATATATCAAATCATTTAGAAAAATCATTTTAATTTTATAGTCTATTTCATGGTGTGAATGTATCAAAATATATGAAACCAAAGACAAAAGAAATATTTTAAATTTTTTAATGTAATTTGAAATTAAATGGATGAGAATTTTTTTAAAATGATAAATTAAATTAGTAAATTTTAAATAATAAAAATACTCAATAAAAAGATACTAAAACAAAATGGGATCAAACTACAATACAATTAAAATTTGAAATTAAAAAAAAATATATTGTATAAAAAATTGAGGACTATATAATTTTAAATTAATTGGATGAGAAAAGAATGAGTAATATTAAAATAAATAAAAACTATCATTAAATTTAATTTTAAATTAATTAGTTGAGAATTTGAAAAAAAATGACAAATTAAAGTTATAGATTTTAAATAATAATAAAAAATTAAAAAATTAAAAGAAATGGGCTAAATCACAATACAATTAAGGTTTCAAATTTAAAAAAAAAATTGTATAGAAAATTTGAGGACCATATAATTTTAAAGTAATTGGATGGGAATTTAAAAGGAAAATGACAAATTAAAGTAGCAAGTTTGAAATAATAAAAATAATTATGAAAAAATACTAAAATAACATGTGACCAAATCACAATACAATTAAAATTTAAGATTAAAAAAAAAATAAGATACTCGCTCTATGGTGCGATAAAACAAGCTGTTGCATACGTAAAATTAACTATTCGTATGATGTAGCGTGAGCAAAAGTTTTATTTCCGGTGATTGATGTAAATGAAATCTATATATTAAACGAAATCGTTTGATTTATATATATTTATTAACAAAATATTTAATAATATTAACACAAAAATTTATATTTAAATAATTAATCGGCTCTTTCAAAATATTATCTAACTTATTTTATTAAAAAATAAATAAAAAATAACTAGCATTATATGTATAGATATTGAGTTAATTTCTAACAAAATTAATGATACACACACACTCGGATATATATATAAGCAAATAAAACTCGTGAATTTTTTTAAGCTGATCATTAATTTTTTTAAAAAAATGAGTCAAACTATCTAAAACATACTTTTAGCTCTCTCTCTCTCGAATTTATAAATTATAACAATATTTAAAAAAAAATCAATAAAAAAGCAAAAGAAGAATTTATTATATAAATTATAATAATATATTTTTTAAAAATAAAAGATTGGTTTTATAAATTTTTATTCCAAAATTCGTATATTAAAAAACTAAATTTATTAACAAATAAAATCATAGAAAAAATAAACATGATGAGAATTTTAATAAGAAATAAATAATTTTTAAAATAATTTTTAAACATTAAAAATAATTTAATCAGATATAAATCTTCAAACCAAAATCTAAAAAAACAATATCATATATATTCTATCATTTAAAAATTATAACAATTTATTTTTTATGTTTTTCATACCTAATTCCATATATATATATATATATACATACATACATACATACATACATACATATATATATATACATATATATATATATATATATATATATATATATATATATATATATATATATATATATATATATAGACACACACGCACGCACACACACCTAATACAAACACACAAAATTTATTGTATAGATTATAATAATATATTTTAAAAAATAAAACACTAACATTCTAAAATTTTAATTCAAAATTCATATATTAAAAAACTAAATTTATTAACAAATAAAATCATATAAAAAAATTAATTTGATGTGAATTTTAATAAGAAATAAATAATTAAAAAATAAAATTAAACAATAAAATTAATATAATTAGATATATACTCTCTCTCTCTACATATATATACATATATATTAAAAAAATTTAAAACTCATTTAAAAAGTAAAAAAATATATATATATTTAAAACTCGATTAAAAAGTAAAAAAAAAATTGCTCTCTCTCTCTCTCTCTCTCTCTCTCATATATATATATATATAATGGGAGGCGGGCAAGGTGTGGTTGGCTTGTGCGGGCGGGCTTGCGCGCCAGCCTTGTCCGTCGAAAGAAAAAAAAATCCCGCAACTTCCGACGAACGCAAGGTCGTCGAAAAATCGAAAGTCGGCTTTCGGATCTTTAGAAATTGAATTTCTGCATCACTTTTTTCCTCAAACACTTCTAAATGATCGGAATAAAGCCAATAAACACATCTAAAACCTTAAAAATCATTTTAATACACACATAAACAAAGAAATATACAAAATCAAATGAGATTTTTTTTCCTTTTTTGACTTTGACCTACCTCCTCTAATTGTTTCATAGCTTGAGACCACCATGGACAAACTCATTTCTCAAAAATAAACAAATTTAGTGGATTTTCATCGGCCGAGTGCCCTAAATGAGCTTGATCGGCGATCTCTCTCTCTCTTCCTCTCATCAATTTCTCTCCATCCGGGGACCAAAATGGATGAGCAAATGAACATGTGAATCAAAATATACGTTCAAAAATATTAAGGATCAAAGTGTAAAAAAATTCATGAATAGTGAAAGCAATAGTGAATTGTTAGAGAGTGAATAGTGAAATGTGAGTGTATGCACGAGTGTTTCAAATAGTGTAGCTACAGTAACCATTCGTTTTCTTTTAGTTTATTAGTTAATATGAATACCAAGAAAGACAATATTTTTCAAACAGAGACTGTATAACAAAAATGCAACAAAAAAATTTCTTTGACTTTTGAAATTTTTATGTTAAAGGTATTTGAATACATAAGGAAAAATCTATAAAAAAAAATATTGATTTTTTTGTTTGTAAATAACCAGAAATGGAAGAAAGAATTGATTTCTTTTATTAATTAGGAGTATTTTAAAAAAGTAAGTTATTCAAAGCTTTGATCAAACAACATTTCAGAACAAATATAAATACAAAGGAAAACAATATCTCTTAAAACAAATAAAATTTTAAATAGTGTAGCTCAAGTAACCATTCGTTTTCTTTTAGTTTATTAGTTAATATGAATACCAAGAAAGATAATATTTTTCAAATAGAGAATGTATAACAAAAAATGCAACAAAAAATTTTCTTTGACTTTTGAAATTTTTATGTTAAAGGTACTTGAACACATAAGGAAAAATATATATAAAAAAAAATATTGATTTTTTTGTTTGTAAATAACCAGAAATGGAAGAAAGAATTGATTTCTTTTATTAATTAGGAGTATTTTAAAAAAGTAAGTTATTCAAAGCTTTGATCAAACAACATTTCAGAACAAATATAAATACAAAGGAAAACAATATCTCTTAAAACAAATAAAAATACAAAGGAGACAATATTTTTCAAACAGAGAACGTATCATTTACTATTTTTTATCTGACATCCTGTCAAAATGAAAACTAAACATCGTTTTCTGCTTGTTCTTGCAGCAGCTTTTTTTGTCATATCCTGTCAACTATCAATTGCAGCCGAAGAGAAACTTCTTTGGGCTAAGTACCATATTTACATCACTAATGACTTGCCTAGAGACCTCTCAACGAAATTGATGGTTCACTGCAAGGACAAAAACAACGACCTCGGAGTCCATTATCTGTCTCAGAAAGAGGAGTTTTTCTTTAAAACAAGTATCGACCTTTTTAGAAGAAGGTTGTTTTTCTGCAACATGCAATGGAATAAAAAGCAGACTTATATTGATGCATTCAGGGCAACAAGAGACGAGAATAGATGTAGAAAGTATTGCAAGTGGTCGGTTAGGAAGGATGGATTCTATTTTAGTAATGGAACTTCCACTTGGAATAAGGAGTATCAGTGGTAGTGGAAGTTTTTCAATTGAATAATTATTGTACCACAGAATAATAAAACATTGCAATAATTTTTATTGATTGATTGTTATTTTTGTTCTGTTTTATGAGTCCCATTATTTATGTGTTTTTTTTTTCATCTTTTCTTGTAAATCTAAAGATAAATTTGTGAAATGATTATCTCAATTTAAAAGTTTATACTCTTGGATAAAGTGCCATAAATATTTTTATATTATTTTCTAAAATAAAAGTTTTTTAAACTTAAAACTTATACATAACCATTATTACTTTGTATTTAATTAATTAATTTTAATTAGAAGATAAAAAAAAAAGTGATGAGATTCAAACTCAAGATGGTGATCACCAAAGCTTTGCTACTATGTTAAAAGGCTATTTCTATCCAAACATTTTTTATTAGATAAGTTAAAAATAAATTGTTAAATGAAGTTTTAGAAACAACTTTATAATACTCTCAAGTAAAATTGATTATTATTATTTTATTATTATTATTATTTGTAAAAGGTGGAGGGCAATAACGACAAGAGGGTCATGTCCCATGCAAAGAATTCAAATTTTCCAAGAAGAAAATATATGGTACATAATTATGTTTTACATTGCTGCAAAGTCGGTTAAAAGTAAAGAATAAATGGGGGTAACTTTTAAGAAGTATCCTCAAACGACTAAAACTTAAATCTATGTACAAGCTTCTTTTTTTTTTTTTTTTTTAAGTAAGGGAAAGACTTGATATATATATATATATATATATATATATATATATATATATATATATATATATATATCAATTGGAGTACAAGCTTTTTGAAAAAAAAAAAAACTGTGGCCTATTGATCAAAAAATATATTGAATGCATAGTATATTGAGTACCATATATGATATAATAATATATTTATTTTCAAAATTGAATATAAAATATATTTTTCCAATGCTCAATATTTTGTTTTCAACATAGAGATTGTATAGATTCTGTCAAATATAGAAAATAAATACATAGTAATTCTTTGAGTTTGAATCTCATTATTTTCACTTTCTATTCTAATTAAAATTAAATAATTAAGCACATGGTAGCGGTGTTTTTACTTGAGTGATTGTGTTAAAAAATAATATAAATCATATGTTAAGATCCCGAGTTTAAATATTTAGATTGAGATTTTTTGAATGATATTTTATTCTTTGTTTGTGTATTTTTAGAATAAAAAATTCAAAACTAGTTTTGTATAAAAATAAAAATCAAAACGATATTATATTATGTTTTTCCAGTTAAAAGTTAGAGTTTGATTATTAGTCTTAAACGGTTCGACAAAAAAAAGAAGACATAATTTGCCTAAAATGTAATAATTTGAAAACAAGATAGACCAAATTGATAATGCAAGTCGTATCTTACCATAATCTCATTAGGTAATTTATGATAATTATATATGTGAATGTAATAACGAGTGTGAATTTTTTTTTATCGAAAGATCTATGGGGTTTGAGCTATACAATAAAGGACAATTTTCTTTCATTATATGACTATTAAATAAACTGAAGTCATTAAAATTCAAATCTTATTTTACTCAAGGAAACTGCCAGAAACACAACAGTTGGTTGGACTCAATCTACTTGTTCAGAATTCTTTCGTTTTGGCTGCTGTAGATGTAATTAATTACACCCTGGAACTAGTAATTGGCAAAATAAAGACAGATACATAAGTTTTAAGGAATACGTTGGCCAGTTTTGCATTAGAACAGGAATCCATTGTAGATTAGGAAAAAGAGAGGAAAACAAAACTAATAACGAATCGCAAAACCAATTTTGAAATGGATTCCTACGTAGCAAGGAAACTGTCAGATATAGATCCGCGTGCGCCCGCGCTCGAGCCCAATTCTCTTCATAGAAAACAACATTATCTCTTTCTTTCCTTATGAGCAATCCAAGAAATTCAGCAATGGCTATCCTCTCTGATCATCAAGAAGATCAGGACAGTAACAAGAACCGAGATATTCAGCAAACTACAGCCATGGAAGAAGAAGAGAAAAGGACCAAACTTGGTCCAAATAAAGGCAATGGTGTTGACATGGAGAATTATTCATGGACACAGAACCTCCAAGAGGTTAGCATACATGTCCCAGTCCCTCAAGGAGCAGGTTCAAAGCTTGTTCTCTGTGACATAAAGAAGAACTATGTGAAAGTTAGACTAAAGAGTCAGCCTCTAGTGATTGATCGGGAGCTGTTTCAGTCTGTGAAGGTTGATGATAGTTTTTGGTCTCTTGAAGATAAAACCACGATCACTCTGCCCCTGACTAAGAACAATGGAAGTGATTGGTGGAAGTCATTGTTAAAGGGAGGACCTGATATTGACACACAGAAGGCTGAACCAGAAGCAAGCAAACTGTCTGATTTGGACTCGGAAACAAGGGCTTCTGTAGAAAAGATGATGTTTGAACAAAGACAGAAACAGCTGGGACTTCCTACAAGTGAGGAGATTGAGAAACAAAAATTGTTGAAGCAATTCATGGCACAACATCCAGACACGAACTTCTCACAGGGAAAGATGTTTTAGAGGAAAATCAAATGTGATGTTAGCCTTTAAATTTCCCTACTTTTGGATTAGTGAAGAATTTAGTATTTATATATTTTGTAACCATTCCATATTTTGGCCGAATAAAACTAAGAAAGGCTTCTCCTTATTTTATATCTGATTTTAAATTTCCTTCAATATCATTAGATGACTGCTTTTTTTGCTTGTGCTTAATAATTTTGCTGCTTCATAGAACTCTAACCTGGCCTAATCATAATTTATAAAAATTAAGATTCAAAAAATAAAAATATAATGTGGATATCTTCCTCCACTAAATTAAGTTTAGAGTCTCATTATTACATGATTAATCTCATGATATAGTTCGAATCCGTTAAGTCTTTCGATAAAAATAAATAAATAAATAAATAAAAAATAAAAAATAAAAAAAAATTCTAAGTATCCACATGTCCACTAGCATTACAATTTTCCATTTACTTCAAAAAAATTCTCAAATAGAAAATTTATTTTCTGTTGTTTGATTAAAAAACAAAAAAGAAAAGAAAGAAAAACCCTGTGAAAACAGTCATAATAATTGGTCCAGCATTGAGTTTAGAGAGCCTTTGTCCACAAAGCCCAATGAACAAAACATCAGCCTAGCCCATTGTATAAAATGTACTCCTCTAAGCTTCACTAGGCTTCCTGGCTCAATCCGAAGAACTCTTTCTTGAGGATCCATGGCCCATGTCTAATGTCTCAAATAAATCCATAATTAATAAATTTCACGGTATTCTAACCACAAAAAAAAAAAAAAGAAAAAAAAAAGGAGTATTTTAAGAAAGTATGTTATTTAAAATTTTGACGAGACAAATATTTTGGAACAAATGGTGATCGGTTTTGCATTAAAGCAGGAATCCATTATAGATTAGGAAAAAGGGAGGAAAATAAACCTAATAATTGCAAAAACAATGTTGAAAAGGATTCCTTCCCGGCAAGGAAACTGTTGTAAACAATATATATATGAAAAAATTCCTTTTTTTATTCATTAATTTAATTAAATCAAATTTAAAATAATTATGAAAAAAATAACTTACTAATAAAAATATTTTGCTCTTAAAATTTAGCCATGCGTAAAATCCCTACAAGGATAAATATTTTTTTTGTAACAAAATTAAGATCTTTCTTTAAAAATTATATGTTAAAGGTATTTGTATATATAAGATAAAATATAAAAATATTGTTTTTTCTTTTTGTTAGTAAAGAATAGGAAATGAAAGAAAGAACTGATTTTATTTAGTAATTAGGAGTATTTTAAGAAACTATGTTATTCAAAATTTCGACAAAGACAAATATTTTGAAACAAATATAAATATAAAAAGAAAAAATATAAATACAAAGGAAAACAATATCTCTCAGAACAAATATAAATACAAAAGGAAACAATATTTATCTCTTAGAACAAATATGAATATAAAGAAAGACAATATTTTTCAACAGAGAACGCATAACAAAAAATGTTAACATTTTTATGTTAAAGGTATTTGTATATATAAGGAAAAATATAAAAAAATATATTGATTTTTTTGTTAGTAAATAACAAGAAATGGAAGAAAAAATTGATTTCTTTTATTTTTTATCTGACATCCTGTCAAAATGAAAACTAAACATCATTTTCTGCTTATTCTTGCAGTTGCTTTTTTTGTCATATCCTGTCAACTATCAATTGCAGCTGAAAAGAAACTTCTTTGGGCTAAGCACTATATTTACATTACTAATGACTTGCCTGGAGACCCCTGAAAGAAATTGATGGTTCACTGCAAGGACAAAAACAACGACCTCGGATTCCATTATCTGTCTCAAAAAGAGGAATTTTTCTTTAAAACAAGTATCGACTTTTTCAGAAGAAGGTTGTTTTTCTGCAACATGCAATGGAATCAAAAGCAGACTTATATTGATGCATTTAGGGCAACAAGAGACGAGAATAGATGTAGAAAGTATTGCAAGTGGTCGGTTAGGAAGGATGGATTCTATTTTAGTAATGGAACTTCCACTTGGAATAAGGAGTATCAGTGGTAGTGGAAGTTTTTCAATTGAATAATGATCGTAGCACAGAATAATAAAACATTGCAATAATTTTGATTGATTGGTTGTTATTTTTCTTTTTTTTTTTCATGAATACCCATCTTTTATGTGTGCTTTTTCATCTCATAAATCTAAAGATAAATTTGTGAAATGATTATCTCAATCTAAAAATTTATACTCTTAGATGAAGTGTTATAAATAATTTTATATTATTTTTTAATATATTTATTTAAAATAAAAAAAATTAAAATTAAAATTTGCATAGATCCACCATTATTTGTATTTAATTATTTAATTTTAATTTGAAGAGAAAAAAGAGGTGATGAAATTCAATCTCAAAGTCGTTTAATCACCAAAGCATTGATATCATGTTAAAAAATTATTTCAATCTAAAAATTTAATCTATTAGATAAATTCTTAAAAATAAAATGTTAAATAAAGTTTTAGAAACAGCTTTACATTACTCCCCCGTAAAATTGATATACATGTATTTTAAAGGTGGAGGGCAATATAGACAAGAGGGTCATGGCTCATGCAAAGATTTCAAATTTTCCTAAAAAAAATATATACTATATATAGTATGTTATACGTTGCTGCAAAGATTTCGAAGAAGACAGGAATCCATCAAAGTTGGCTGAACCAGAAGCAAGCAAACTGTCTTGCCTTTACTGATGCGGGAGCATCCACGCATCCGCCTCCAATATTTTGTATGGCACTCTTTAAGTGATCGTATTGTATTTATTTTGTTGTCTTTTTATTTATTTTGTTATCTTTTTATTTGTTTGGTTTATTGTCTTGGGCTAATTAAGTAGTCCTCGTGAGGGATTTCGAGTTTCCTAGGGACGTGGCCGCATGTTTCCTATTTAAATGGACCAAAGTCCAACAACGAAAGAGGAAAACTATCCAGAAAGCTCAATCTGGTTGGAAGGGAACGAAATCGTCAGACAAAACAGAACCGTCCAACAACGAAAGAGGAAAACTATCCAGAAAGCTCAATCTGGCTGGAAGGGAACGAAATCGTCAGACAAAACAGCTGGTGCAGACATCGAGCAACGTAGAAAAAACCAACAAAAAACGATGTCGCTGGTTGATCCAAACAGTTGCAGGAAGAAATGATGTCCTAGGGACCCAGCAACCACTGCAAAAAATAAGTACGAAGGAGAAAACAAAACAAAAGAGCTGGAGCATCATTAATTTCCTCAAAAAGAAACCAATTCCAGCCGCAAGCCAACCGAACTCACAACTGGAACCGCAAGCAAACTGTCTGATTTGGATTCGGAAACAAGGGCTGCTGTAGAAAAGATGATGTTTGATCAAAGACAGAAAGAGCTGGGACTTCCTTCAAGTGAGGAGATTCAGAAACAAAACTTGCTGAAGCAATTCATGAAAGAAATTTATTTTTCTGTTGTTTAATTAAAAAAAGAAAAGGAAGAAAAACCCTGTGAAAACAGTCATAATAATTGGTCCAGCATTTAGTTTAGAGAGCCTCAGTCCATAAAGCCCAATGAACAAAAATCAGCCTAGCCCATGGTATAAAATGAACCCCCCTCTAATCTCCACTAGGCTTCCTGGCTCAATCCAATGAACTCTTTCTCGAGGATCCACGGCCCATGTCTAATGTCTCAAATGCATAATTAATCAATTTCATGGTATTCTAACTACCCAAAAAAAAAAAAAAAAAGAGTAAATTATAAATTAATCCCTTTATTTTCGAGAAATAAATCAATGAGTCTCGTTTTTAAAAAAACTAATAATTTATTTTTCTGAGCAGCATTGATCACACATAATTTAATCTTATTTTATTTAAAAATATCATCTTTTCTTCTTGATCTTTTTATATTTGTCACTTTTTTTTCTATTTTTTACAATAAAAATTCTTAATAAATTAAAAAACAAAAAATATTAAGCCACGAGAAAATTTAAAAATATAAAGATTAAAAAATTAATTTTTAAAATAAAAGAAACTAATCAATTCGTTTTTTAAACTAGAAGGATTAATATATACTCAAAAAAATTCAAGGTCGGCGACTGCAATCCTTCCTCCCCAAGGAATTAAGACTCCTACATATACCAATATCATCAGTCCCCAAGAAATCACATCAAGACTGAGCTTTCTACGATTTTTCTCCTCTAAAGACCCAAATAATTCTTTTATTTATTTATTTATTTATCAAATTTATAGCCATTGCCACAATGCTTTGGTGCTCTCACTGCACCGGATATGGCCAACCTTTATGCCAAGATGATTTCTTGTAAGTATAATTTCATGGGTTCTCTTAATTAATTATTGCTATCTATTATCAACCTTAATTATATATTAATGATTTTATTTAATAAACTGTAGGTCATGTTCTGGGTGTGGTAAGGTTCTTAGCATGTTGAATTGGCAGAGAAGATTCAAGACAAGAAATTCAAGAATTAAAAGAACCAAAAGAAGAAGAAGGACCATACAAGAAACTGATGACGAATCATGCGTAACTGGAGAATCATCTGGAAATATCGATGATGGTTTGTCGGATAAAGCTGAAATGCCAAAGTGAATAATAATAGTGGGGAAGATCGAAGATGGGAAGGAAGGAGGAAAAAAGGATGTTATGAGCAAAATTTGGTGCCTTGCTCTGTTTTTTTCTTCAAGATATTCTTGAGTCGTTTACACGTTTGTAGAAGAAATTTAATTTGTTTAAAGAATACAGTTTGACTAATTAATTCGGTTTTTTTTTTTTTAAGATAAGAAATTTCATTGTTATTAGTTTTAATTTTAACCAAATTAACTTAAAAATATTGGTTACTCAGAGATTAGCTTCGGTGACCGGGCCTTCTTGTTGAAACGTTTTTTGTTTATCTCGTGGGAGGTCTAATGAACTTGCATATATTATGCAATAATACATTTTGTATTTAAAGTAGAATGTTGAGTATTGAATATAAAATATATTGAATGCGTACTATTACATATGACGTAATAATATATTTTGTATTCAATATTCTGCTTTTCAATACAAAAATTGTATTGATTCTGTAAAATATTAAATATAAATAATAAATATTTCTATTTTTTAATTAAAATGAAAAAATTACGCATAAGATTATCTTAAGATGTTGTATTGAAATAATTATTTGATACTTCGTGTCATATAAGAAATAGTGGAGAATCGTTAAATTCTAATTTTTTTTTATTTTTTTATTTTCGGTGAATTTTAACTTTTAACTACTTCTAACACTTATAAATATATGAATTACTTTTTCATTTTTCCGCCCTTTAGACTGCAGAAAAATTGGATCAACGGCTTTCCTTTTACCTCTTATCGTCCTTCAAGAAGAATTTTGTGGAAAAACAAGAAAAAGAAAAGAGAAACTAAGAAAAAATATGTGGAATAATTGAATATTATTAATGTGTACTTGTAAATACAGTCAACTAGAACAGAACATCCTTGTATAGTGGCACACGAGTTGACATTAATTGGGTCATCTTTGCCATTTGTTTGCCTAAAAAGTCATGACATCTAGAAAAAGTTGTCAACTAAATTAAGCTAATCATGACAATCATCGATAACAAGCTAATCATTCATTTTTTTCTTCTTATTGAATGGTTTGTTAGGTCTAGAATTATGCAAGAAATTTAATGTTGCTAAAAAAAGTTTCTCCAAGTTTAGAAAGTTTGTAATGACAATTAACAATAATTTTCACCATTACTACAATCAAATTCCAATTTATATATATATAAAAAATCAGCAGAAAGAAAATAACTGTTCAATAAAAATATTTAAATATAAATCATATGTTTTATAAAATGCCCCCATTAAAAGTCATTTTTAAGAACCTACAATGAAAAAGGAGATATTTTCAGAAAAATGTGAATAAAAATGATGATTTTGAATATCAATTAATAACATTTTTAATATGTAAAAGGTTAAAAATACCAAACTTAAAAAAAAAAGAAAATATCAAGTTTTGAAAATCGTGTTGGAACTTGAAAAGATGTCTCGTTTTTCTCTCTCAAGAAAGGATCCACGTCTAGAATTAAGACTCAAGATTAGTAACCAGCTTATGCTACCAATCCTATCAATTGGTACAAGTGCTAAAGATTCTAGCTTTTTTTTTTGGTTCATTGAGAGATCTATAGCATGGTGAAAAATTTTTACCTTTAATTTTGATATATTTTGTTCAATTCGATCTGCATTGCACTGCAGAAATCCAGTTAGTCTAATCCATTTCTTTTCAAATTTATTTCATTGACATTCAAAAATTCCAAAATACATTAATGGTATTAAATACTATTCATCTCATTTTCAAATAAATAAATAAATAAACATTCATCTTGAGTTTTACCTGAAGAGAGAGAAAAAAAAAAAAAAAAAAAAAAAAAAGACATCATGCTTGATCAATCATCCATTGTGCATGCCTCATCTCGTTGGATCAACTGTACCTCAAAGTCTTGCCGTTGAAGTACTATGGGCCACTCTATCAAAATTTAGTGATCTGCACTATATAAAAAATATTTAAACTCATAAAAAATATCTTGGATAAAATATTTTTATCTTTATTTTATTTTTTTATTAATTTTGGAGAGAATGATGGGATATATCTTCATTTTTTTATTTTCTAAAATTTATTTATTTAAATTCAATAAAAAAATTAAGATACAAAAATAAGTAAAACAACACAATAAAATTAAATAAGTGGAGAGACTTTTGTAACCATTAACCCATAAAAAACCCTCGTCACTTGAGCTAATAAATGGGCCCTGAACCTAACACGACATGTTGGAAGAAACATGGGCCTTCAACCGAACCTTGGCCTTTTGCTTTTGCCCACTAAAGTAATTCACATGCTTTGTAACGTGACCTCTAAACTTGGATAAAATTTTATGATCTCCACCATATAAACTAAAAATGGTATAAAATTAAATGAGTATAAAATCCATCTGAGAAATCGAATCACTAGTATAATCCAAAAATGGAATAAAATTAAACGAGTCAAATCCAGTTGAGAAACCGAATCGTGGTGCATGAATTCGAAACAGAGGAAAAATATTAAGTTAATTAAATAAGTTTAAAACAATTATAAAAAAATAATATACTAATAAAAATATTTTACTCTCAAAATTTTAGGATACAGTAACAAAAGATATTCTTTAAAAATTTTTATATTAAAGGTATTTGCAAAGAATAAGTAAAAAAATATTAATTCTTTGCTAAGTAAATGAGTTAAACATTTTCTAAACTTTAACGTGTTTGAAATTGAGTCTTTGAACTTCAAATTTAGTTTTTAAGATCTCTATACTTTTAATTTTTTTAAGATTCATTCCATCATTTAGTTTTCTGTTGTTTATCCCAAAAAAAATTACAATCACATAAATAATTTCATAATGGGAATCATTCAATAAGATTTATATATGGATTTTCAAAAAAATTGAGATCATTTCAGGTTATTTTTTGTTATTTTCTATATTTTTAATATTAAAAAAGATAAACAAGTATACTTTTTTGATTTTGAAAATTCAAGATTTTTCTAAAAAATAGATTAGGTTTTTTTGAATGTATGTGCAAAACTTTAACTCAAAACACTAAGAATTAAATTATTTAGAGGGGAGTGTGATAGCTGAAAATCATTAGATAGATTAAATCTCAAAAAATTAAAATTTCAAAGATTTCAAAAACTAGATTTAAACTTCAATGACTCAATTTTAAATGAGTTAAAGTTCAAGAGAGGTTTGACCCATTTTAGCCTTTTTTGTCAGTAAATAATAAAAATGGAAAACAATTAATTTTTATCCGACAAATATTTTGGAACAAGTATAAATGAAAAGAGAAATAATATTTTTAGAACAGAAGAAGCATCATTTACTCCTTTTGCAAAATGAATACCAGACATCATTTTCTGCTTGTTCTTGCAGCAACCTTTTATCTCCTATCCTGTCAAATATCAATTGCAACTGAAGACGATTTTCTTTGGATTTGGCACCATATTTACATTACCAATGACTTGCCTGGAGACCCCTTAAAGAAATTGATGGTTCACTGCAAGGACAAAACCAAAGACCTCGGAGTTCATTATCTATCTCAGAAAGAGGTGTTTCACTTTAAAGCAAGTATCGACTTCTTCAGAAGAAGACTGTATTTCTGCAACATGCAATGGAATGGAAAGCAGACTTATATCGAGGCATTCAAGGCGAAAAGAGACGAGGATAGATGCCGAAAGCATTGCATGTGGTCGGTTAGGGAGGATGGGTTCTATTTTAGCAATGGAAATGGCAATTGGAACAAGGAGTATCAGTGGTAGGGGAAGTTTTTCAATTGAATAATTTTTCTATCAGAAAATAATAAAACATTTCAATAATTTTGATTAGTTGATTGTTAATTTTGTTTTCTTTTATTAGTACTCATTTTTTATGTGTTTTTTTCATCTCTTTTTAAATCTAGGGATAAATTTATCAAAAGACCATTTCAATCTAAAAGTTTAAAGAAGTCTCATAAATAATTTATATTACTCTCTAACACATTTCCAAATAAAAACTTTTCGAGTTTGAAACTTATACGGACCCATCAATGCTTTATGACTGATTATTTAATTTTAATTAGAAAAGAAAATAAAGGTAATGAGATTTGAATTTATGATCTTCTAGTCATCAAAACTCTAATATCATGTCAAAAGATTATTTTAATTGAAAAATTTAATCTATTAAGTGAGATCCCAAAAATGGATTGTTAGATGAGATCTTGTAAACAAATTTGTATTCGAAAAGAAAACAGAGACGGTGAGATTCGAATTTATGATTGTTTGATTATTAAGATTATGATACCATCTCAAAATACTAATTTAAACCAAAAATTTAATCAATTAAATGAGTTCTAAAAAAGGCTGTTATATGAGATTTTAGAAATGATTTTATATTGTTAGTTAATAAAACTGATTTTTTTTTTTTTTTTGGAGGTAACAGAGACAAGAGTGGTTATGTCACCAACAAAGATTTCAAAAATTCCTTTAAAAAAAAAAAACTATATAATTATGTTATACAGTGCAGCAAAGATTAGCTAAGAGTAAAAAATAAATGGGGCAACTTTTAAGAAATATCCCCAAAGAATCAAAACTTAAATCCATGTACAGGCTTTTTTCTTGATTTATTTCTATAAGCGATAGACTTGAATTATATATAAAGTAAATGAGGGTGAAGTACTTGCATATCATAAGACAATTGGCAGCATCTCAATAATTTATTTATAATTTGTCCATACCATATGTTTGGGACCGATAGCCTTTGAAGATTTGAAGGGTCAACTAAAGTAATTCATTCAAGTTGCCTGGCTAATGGAGGAAATTAAAGTCTTCACTTATGACGCCACCTCTTGGAGGGGTATAGTTGAATATGAAGGAATATGTTCCATCATGGGCATCAAAATAATGTCATGTTTTGTTGCCAAAAAATAGCTCTGAAATAAAAGAAATCTTCAAGAATAATCAAGATCAAAATCTAAAGCGATTTTCTATTCTTTCAAGGGCTATAAATAAAGAGTTGAAGAGATAGAATAGGCATTGCATTCGTAGAATATGACGAATTGAGAGAGAAGAGAGGTCTAACATGAGGATCAGAGTCTTGTGTGGAAGCCAAGGATGACTTGCCTGCTTATCTCAGGAAAGTTTCTATGGTGAACTTAAATCTGTAGATGCTTTTTTGTGATTTTGTAGGGAGTCAACCTTGGATTTCCTATAGTCTCTTCTTTCTCATGCTATGCTTCTCTCTTCTTCCCCCACAAGAGCAAAAAATATATAAAGAGTATGTATTTAGACATTTACTTGTTGCTTGATGGTGTTTAACATAACATTTTGCACATTTGAATATGATTTTTACGTATATTCTTTGATGCAATGACATTTTCTATATTCGTAATGACATAATAGAATCATATTTGAAGATTTAATATGATCGACGTAAGTCGATTTACTCTTTACATTATTATCAAATCATAAAAAAATACATAAGGAAATAATTTCTTTTAAATATATCAATGCACATGCGAATGAGTTGTTTAATTTTTGACTTCAGAATTTAATTAGCATCGATGTATTAAAATTGTCATTAAATGCTTTTACAATTGAAAATTTTTCATGAATTCGAGACTTTTTAAAAGAAAGTAGAACACTAATATTAATTGAGTTACAACGGGTCGATTATATTTTTTGAATTTATTAAACCAACTAAATAAAAACCATATTAAGAAATCATATCTAAGTATATAAATAAAAACCATATTATAAAGAGTAAATTATAAATCAGTCCCTCTAGTTTCAATAACTAATTAATTAGTTCCTATATTTTTGAATCTATTTGTAATTTAAATAGTTTTTATTTTTTTAATAAATAAAAAAGGAAAAATTATGAAAAAAAATGATAAGAAGATAACATATTTTTAGAACAAATAATATTACATTAACAATGTGGTCAACACCAGTCAATAGCCTTATTAATTAATTTTTGAAATAATAGGGACTATATAATTCATTTTTCAAAACTAGAAAGACTAATTTATAATTTACAGCTATTATAAAAAGCTAACATGCCAATGTTATGTAGAAGTGTACTAGATATTCATGTATAACCTAATAGAGCTTTCTTCACCTTCAATTCTAATGGAGTACCACTGGAAGTTTTAGAGACTTGCCTGTGACTATTGCCTTGTTTAAGTGCAACGAGCCTTTAGCCTTAACTCCTTTACTCTTGGCTTATGCCAATCACAACATATACCAAGTTATTTCTTATTCTTTTCCTCAGAATTCTTCTAGTCTTTTGTGGTTAGTCACACTTTGGGCCACTTCTTATTTTCCTAAAATTATTTCTAAATCATTTTATTTTGATGCCAGCATAGAGGAGTCCTGTTCAATCATCTGGAAATATAGCAAATGTATGGACCTCGAAAGAGTTTGGCGCTATTGAAGAGGAAAGAGACATTTTAGTGCATGACGATATGATTTAGATTTTATTCCCTCTCCAATTCTCCCTCTATTATCCCAAATCAACAAATTAATAAATTCTATTAGATTTTAGAATCATCTGATTTGATACAATCAATAAAAACACATATCTTTCTTCTTCTTTACATCCTTTGTTTTTGTTTTTTAAACTCCTCAATCTCTCGTTTTCTCTCTAAAATCTAAAAAAATATAGAGTAAAATATAAATTAGTCTCAATTGTTTTGAGAGATGAATGAATGAATTAATTAATTCTTCCGTTTAAAAAACTAATCATTTAGTCTTCATGTTTTTAAATCTATTTGTGACTTATTTTTTTTTCAATTTATTTTAATTTTTTGTTTTTTTTTTAAAATATAAAATATAAAAAATATGGAAAGATTGATGAGAAAAAAGAAATTTTGTAGAATAAAAATAATATTAAATTAAATAAATAAGTAATTTTTCCAACCTTCCAGTTTTGGGTTTTTACTATCCGAATAAATAATTTGAAGAATTAAACTCTAGGTTAAATTCAACTTCAAAACCAAAATAAACTTAGAAAATAATTTAATAAATAATGATTTATGAAAAATAAATTGAGATTAGAAACAAATAAGTAATTTTTTTCAGAAAATAATCTTTTTGGACAATTATTATTTTTTATTAAATATAATCAACTCATTATTCATTTCTCAAAACCCAGTTTATTTTTTATTATTTTTAGTTTATTTAAAATATTAGGTGCGGATTTCTTATTTTTAAAAGTTTTTTTAATCTGAAAATCACATATATGGATAGCAACCAATATTTTGTTTGTTGTGCACATTTTAAAAAACTATAAATGCTTGGAAAATGTACAATTCCATATATTTTAGATTTGACTAGTAATATTTATCAAAAAATAGTAATAAAAAAATTGACTTGTAATAAATCAAATTGTTGAAGATAATATTGGAAAATCCGTTCTTTTGGACACGTGGTTTTATATACAAGTAAAATCAATGTCAAACAAAAATTGAAAGCAGGCCTGAGGTCAACACCAATAAAGCAAATAAGGATGCCAAGTCAATGAGTACTTGTACAACTTTTAAAAAGCAATGCAAATATGTGGACTAAATTATAAATTAGTCTTTTTAGCTTCGAGAAATGAAATAATTAGTTTCGAGAAATGAAATAATTAATTTTTTTTTTTAAATTTGATTTTTTTAGTTCTTATATTTTTAAATTTTCTTATACTTTAATTTCTTTAATTTAATTTATTTCTTATTTTAAGAAAAAAAAGTAAAAAATACATAAGTATTGATGATTGGATTTCTAAATTATAAATATCTTTTAAGAAATAATTTATTTCCAAATGTATCAAATACATTTATTCAACTTGAATTTCTAAACGAATATATTCAAAACTTGGATTTTATTCTCATATATTTTGCTTCAGATTGTAAATTAATCTTATGACATCCCTCTTGATCTTAAATTCCTCTCTAGAATTTCTAAAAAGTGATAATGATTGGATTCAACTCATCACGATAGCTAGGTTGTAGTTTAATTTCCTGTGTAGCCACCAGGACCCCCATAAAAGAATTGATGTCCACGCACACGTCCTTTAATTCCAACATCCAAGGCCTTATATGCGGCAATATCTGAAAACCCTTCAACATTATCAGCAGCAGTATAGCTAGTTTCATTCGCATATGCGATTTGCCAGCAAAATGCGTCGGTTGATTCATCGCCGCTAACTTCAACGCCGGTTCGCATCGGCGCACTTGGTAGATTAGGAGGACCGTATACTTGTCCACCCCAATCAATATAGGTAGCAAAGTTGTTCAATCCAGACGTGAATATGCGATTATCCCAGAATCCAACAACAGCATTCCTGTCTCCCATATAAAGACGCCAATTTCTAAGTTTTCCATCCTACAGGTAACAGAACAAAAAGAAAAGGAATGTAAGAGAGGATTTCTATCCTTAATTAACCATCCCAGTGGCTAAAAGAAAATTGCTTACCCAATCGATTATGAATTTAATAGATACTCTAGTTCGCGGACCTTGAGTGCGAAAGACAAAGTCGAGAGGGATATCCCGAGCTACATGTACAAATCCAGGACAAAATGTATTGAAACAACGAGATGAACCAGCCTATGTAAGAGTTGATTCATTAACATGTTGTGAGTTAGTATTGTATTCCACTTATCAGAATAATAAAAAAACACAAACACATTGAGAGAAAAGCTTGCACTTACATTAGTATATATATACATTCTAGTCTTATCATCGTTGCACATAAGTGGATTCACCTGAAATAAGAAAAAACAAGAAAACAAGTGGAGTTTAACTCATTCTATCTTATACCCCAACATCTGACTTTACTACAGGCCATCACTGTGATGTAAGAAGCAGTTCTTTCTATTAAAAATAAGGTTTTATATATATATATATATATCAAGACCTCAAACAATTTAAATTTTTTTAATTGAGACTTTAATTTTTTTATCCAATTTAAGAGTTTTACTCTTATGTTATTATTGTTTCAAACTCTAATATGTCACATAAGCATACGTGACAAGCTCAAGCCAATAATAGCTTGTCACATGTCATGATGGGCTTAAATTGACGATTGAGTTGATAACATGAAAAATTATCGTTAGTTAGAAGCACATTTGTTATTGGATAGGGTCTGAACAACAACAACACAAGAGTAGATAAATTGAGCAAAAAAAAATTCAAATTGTACGAAGTCTCAATATGTGTCAAACCCATTAAAAATATACTCACTAAAATTATATATATATAATGGCAACACAATATTTTAATAACATAATTCCCATAGACTTGAAAAAAAAAAAGACTTTTCTATTATCTATTTGAGATTAGCCAAATAAAAAAAAACTAGAATAGTGATCTCTCACGAACACAAGAGAAAACGTGTACCATGAAGCCACATTCAAGTTCACTTACCATCCACCCAACTTCTATATAGTCTGCATTGTTTTTCACTTTCATGCGAGAATAACTTGATTGAGGGTGTTGTACTTGAACCTTGTGTGTGGTAGTAAACATTCCAGCTCCATAGTATTTCTTGCTTGGGTCAACTTTAGTGCGTAATATAGCAGACTGTAACATATAAATAATTATGAATAACATTAATTGTATCACACAAATAAATTTTAAGAGATCAAAAGCCACATTAATTGTATCATATAAATCATTTATACGGTAATCAAATATTGATGATACTGCTAATTAAGTAGATGGTTTCATCCCAAAATTCCAATTGTTGTGCTTAGGCAAAAGCTAAGATCAAGTCTTGTTAGATGATGAGTTCATCATTTTCATTATTGAAAATGGTACTCGTTTCTATTTTTAGAATATCAGCATGACTGTTTGGATATATATATATATATATATATATAAAGGCAACAACTTACATGAAGACCAGGAGTTTCCACAGATTGAGGCTCGAATTTGGAAGAATGCATCTGTGATGCCAACTTAGCTCTGGAAAAATCTTTTTTACTACTTTTTTTATGGGAACCGTACCGACTGGACATCCCTGGCCATTAAGCCATATTTTACTTGGATCAAAGATAGTAGAGCCGTCATCAAATTCATCGCTCTTCTTCTTGGGATAAGAAGAAGGTGATATCTGCTCGCAATAGAGCAAAATTTTAAAGCAATTGTGTTGAAATAAGGACATAATTGAAAATAAAGTAAGAAAAAGCTGGAAAGCATACCTTAAAATTAAATGTATGATTCTTCAATAATGGATGGTCAAAAGCAGGTTGTTGGTAGAAATCAACACACCTGTATAAATCTCCATGTATTGTCTTTTGAGGGAAAAAAAGGATTCAAAGGTTCACATCAATATTAGTATTGTGCTAAATAATGGAAATCTCCTTTTTATTTCCAAGTAATTAATAAATAAATTTTGAAAAAAAAATAAAAGATTTAGCTAGCTCTGACCTTAATAGTTTTGACAGCTGGCTTATTCATAAGCTTAAATTCATGTTTCTCCAATTCCAAATCTTCTTCTCTAGATAGCTTCCTACCATCCATTCCATTATAGCTAAATACACACCATATGAACAAAATTGTTTGGATACTGCTCCTTAAATTCATGGCTCTCACCTAAGAAAATACTTAATTTGTAGCACAAATAAACCTCGTCACGAATTCTATATAGAAGACCACAACAAACAATTGACCAAAAACTTTAGTAAAATCACAAATCCCATTTGTGTGTTTGTTTGTGATTGTTTCCATGCTATCCCATCGATGGAATTGCAATAATAACCATTAAATCAGACTTATCAAATCATAGAGACAGTTATGACAGAGCAAGTAATAGTTCATCAAGGACCATGAGAATAAAGATTTGAGTTTGAATCGTAACATCCTTAATTCCTACCTCTTTTGATATAGTTTATTTGCAAGTTAGTTATATGTGTTTGCTATACTTCTTTTCTCAAAGCATTATTCATAATAAACATTTAATAAATATAAAAATATGATGTCCGAAACAACCTCACTAACCTTTCGTATTGAAGAGGACAACCTCGGAACTCTAAACCTTGCTTTGCATGCATGAATATAGTAGGTAGGATGTGATTATATATGCATATATAGATGCATAGGTAGATGTAAAATCAATGCCGATTTTGAGAATAAAAATCAATGCCAATTAAAAGCAATCCCGACGTCAACGGAAAATAGGCTCATATGGATATCACTATAATTTTTCAAAGGGAAAGCAAATTATTCTGGAAAAATACGTTTAATTAATCAACTAAAATATATAAAGGAATTTGGCTATACATGTTTTTTTTTTTTTTTTTTTTATGATTTAATTTGTCAATAAGAAAATGAGGATATTGATTACTACTCCTTCTGCCCAAATAGATTGTCTCATTAATTTGACTTTTTACATAATTTAAGAAAGTTATTAATTATAATATCATATTAAAAAAAATTTATACTTTCCTAAAATACATTTTTTTAAATTAAAATTGTTAGTTATCAAATTTAATCATATATTATATGGAAACAATATCAATTAAGGAGAAAATCTATCTAATATTAAAGTAGTAAAACAAAAGAAAAATCATTACCTTAATTAATTTAAACAGTTATGAAAAAATATCATACTAATTAATGGAAAATTTTCCTCTCAAAATTTTGGCATATAAGAATAAATATTTTTCATCTAAGAAAAAATTTCTTTGAAATTTTTATGTTAAAGCTATTTGTTTGTATAAGAAAATAACATAAAGATTATTGATTTTTTGTTAGTGAAGAACAAAGAATAGAAGGAAGAATTATAAAATTCTAAATACCAATCAAAAGTTTAAAATTTTAAATAAAACCCCCTCCTCTTATTAAAAAAATATAATAAATATTTTATTAACTCAAAATTTTCTTACTGTGATAACAATAAATTTAAGCTTATAAAAAAAATTTTAGATAAAAAAAATTATCTTTATCTTTTTTTTAAAAAAAAAGTTTAGAGAGAATGATCGGATATATCTTTATTTTTTTATTTTCTAAAATTTATTTATTCAAATTCAACAAAAAAAAATTAAGAAAAAAAAAGTACAACAACACAATAAAATAAAACAAAATAAGTATAGAGACTTTTGTAACCATTAACCCATGAAAAAACCCTTGTCACTCGAGCTAATAAATGGGCCCTGGACCTAACAAGACATGTTGGAAGAAATATGGGCCTTCAACCGAACCTTGGCCTTTTGCTTTTGCCCACTAAAGTAATTCATGTGCTTCGTAATATGGCCTCTAAACTTGGATTTTAGCCTATTGAAAAAACGAAACAGATCAAAAGGCTTACTTACCCTACCAATAATAATAATAATAAAAATATATATCATATTAATTGCTCATTAAAAAATTATCATATAAATTTTTATCCAACCCACATTAATTTATATGTCCATTTAATACCTAATTAATAGATACTAAAAGTAGTTCATGAAAATATTCATTTTAGTCTTTATAATTTTCAAGAAAAGCTTTTGTCCTTTTTTTTTTTTTTTTTTGCATTTTGGCCATTTTTTATAAGTATTTTGGTCCTCAAAATTTTTTTAAAAAATATTTTAGTTCTTAATTTTAAAATTTTATGCAATTAATCAAGTATGTTTAAAAAATCAAAATGAAATAGTAGATATTAATAGGATAAAGAATGGTATCCATATCCCGAAACTATATCGGTAAGTATGTATTTTTTTTTAAAAAAAAGATAATAATCCAGTCTATCTTTATGTAAAAAAGTCAATATTTAATTTTTTTATATATTTTAAAATGAATAAGTTATATCCTAATATTTTAAACAAACTTTTAATCTATCAGTTTGATAATTTTTTTGGTCAAACCACTAAAAAAAATTACGTGACTCACAAATGATTAATTTTTTATTTTGAAAATGCCCCTCAATTGAACGTGTACAAGTCACATGACTTTTTTTCTTAGGAACTTATAATGTAGTTGTACAATTTTTTGAGTACTAATGAAGTCACCTCTTTCAAATGAAAGAAGGTGGAATAATGGGTGGAGATGGATGAAGGCAGAGAACCAAAGAGAGACTGCAAGAAACAGAGGGCTGAAAGGAAAGAGAATAGAGCGCCACACTCACACTCCACAGAGGATGAACATGAACAAAACAGTGAAGCCATCACTGTTTTAATTTCTTTTGTAATGAAAGCTAAAATAGTTTTCTAGCATCTAATGTTATGTTTGACCTCTTTGAACTTAATTTTTTTTTAAAAGATTTATTTCATATTTTCATTTTATGTCATTTATGCTAAAAAACAATAATTAAATAAATGGTTTCACGATAGAAATTATTCAGTAAAATTTATTTATAGCTTTCCAAAAATTTAAAAACATTTTGAGTTATTTTTTATTTTTTATATTTTTAATAATAAAAGAATAAAAAATATATTTTTTGATCTTGAAAAATTTTCGAATTTTTCAAGTAGGTTTTGTAGAAGTGTACAACCTGATGGAGCTTTCTTCACCTTCAATTCTAAAAGAACATGATTGTACATCGCTATTGCAAATTCATGGAATATCCATGGATGCATAAAATAGTATGATTTTATTATGCAATCCAAGGGCTTGCATGAATCTGGAGATGTGATTGCCTAATTTTGTTGAAGGATCGGAGAGAAGGGAGCTCCATAATATCTTCAACCTTTTTTTTCCTTCATGTTAATTTGATGTCATCTTAGTAGAGTTAAAATTGAAACTTTAAAAATATTTTTTCTACAAGACTAGGATTTTCTTTATAAAGAGATGTTTGATCAGTTATTTTCCTAAAAACGTATTGTTCATACAATTTTTTTTTAATGATTTTGTTAATCAATTATTAATGACTAAAAATGGATAGTTGTTGGCCTAGTGATATACGAGCCGATCTTTAGACGAATTGAATCTATTTATTGAAAAAAATTAAATTTTATTGTTTTAACTATGAAGATTATTAGTTTTATTTATAATATGAGCCAGATGGGGGTAAATTTAGAATTATAAATAGAAAAAGTTTAACGTTTCGTCTCATAAATTAATTTGCAAGGATGGATTGAGCTAATTGAGCTATTTATTTGTTATTTGTTGAAAGTTTTGGACAAGTCAGGATCTGAACTGAAAAAGTTAAGGTCAAAATCATCCCAGGTCTAAACAGATTGAATAAATTTTTCTACGTAGAATTTGTAAAAGAGAAGTAAAAAGATGCAAAATCCAAAGGAAATCAAGATTTGGTTATCCATATCTCTGTCTTGGCATTAAATGGTTGCCACATACTTCCACTACACTGTAGCCAAAAACCTCGTTATCCACACCAACATTAAAATCAATAGCTAATTTATATAGCGTCCCAGAGTCAGCAAAAACGTTTTGCACAAAATGGACTCAACTACACAGTCTCTTTCCCAAGCCAAGCTTCCAGGCTGCTCAACTTCTCTAGCACCATCCATCTTTCATTCAAAAGCCTCACTCTTTGCTCATAATTCAATCACATTTCAGTCCCCTAAGAGCTTCTTCAGACAGCTACAAGGGGTTAGATTCAGAGCAAAGAAGCAGAGGATTCTTGGCGTTGTACATGCTTCTGGGGCTGAAGGAACATTGACTGATGTTCAAGAAAGATGGCTTCTTGTTCCTGTTGGTTAGTGAGTTCTGTTTTTCTTATAAGAATCAATGATTGATCACAATTCCTGTCCAAAACATAAATCAATCTAAGGAGAAATTCTTGATCATGCTTTCCAATGTTTGGTCGAGACCCAATTTACAGCTTAATCTGAATCAAACTTGATGTTTCTTCAGAATTGGAGAATGTGGGCTATGAAGTTTTGTCATGTTCTATGCTTTTTTTTTTTTTTTTTAAAGAAGAAGAATCTGAAAATGGTAAAAAGTGAAGTAATTATACAAGCCAATTTCTGCATTTCTTCGGTTTTTGCTCCAGGAACTGTAGGATTACAACATTTTCTCGATGCTGTTGCTATAAAGATTCATAGTAAAATTCATTTTGATTCTAAATTAATGATGCCCACTTGCTATATATGCTATTAATGTTATTATTTTCTTGCATTGAAGCAATACCATTTGTTGTGGCTAATGTAAATGATAGGTGATGGGGATTCAAGGCACATAGGTTTCCAGGTCAAGATGCCAGATGCTTTTGAAATTGCTTCTGTGAGTATTTCTATTATCTGTTCATGAGAATTCAATTTTACTCAAATATGCACCAATTAACAAGACCTTTTTTCTGGCATCGTTCTAGAGTGAGGTTACTGTTGGCCGCCTTCCTGACAAGGCAGACATGGTGATTCCAGTTGCAACAGGTTTTGGTTCAAACTGTCTGTCAGTTCAATCAATTTTAGACTTCCCTTGTTACTGTGTGCTGTGGCTAATGTCATGCTGATTTGGACAGTGTCTGCTCTACATGCCCGAATTCAGAAGAAGGGAGGAAATCTTGTGGTCACAGATTTGGATAGTACTAATGGAACATTCATTGATGAGAAACGGCTGCAACCTGGAGTTGCTGTCAG